CTCGAGATTGCCTGGCCGGGACGCAAATTCCGCCGCGGCGCAATGCAATCTGATGGGCGGATTTCCGATTGAGGCAGAAATGCTTGGCGCTCGTGTGCCTATGCATTTTAGTCGACGTTAACGAACGGCAGGTGGTCAACATTTCTGAAGCCCACCGCTACGGCGGCTTTCGTGATGATATAACGGCTTTGGGTTAGCCCCCATCGGTTATTATTACATAAAATAGAAATGTGCGTGGGGGGGGGGAGGGGCTAGCGTTGAATCCAGGGCTTCTTAAAGAGACTTTAAAATCAAATCCAATTTACATCGGAGTGAAAGTTTATTCTATGACAACATCTAAAACGACAATATTATCAACAGAAGCTGCATACTCTACACAAGATTGCATGTGACACAGTAGGGTATTCTCAAAATGATACCGATGAAGTAGGACGAAACGCCTACACTTAATCGCTAGTATTCGATCTTGCTGCGCTAAATAAGGAACCTTCCGCGGATCAATAAACGAAATAAAATGCTGCTTGTTTGTAACTGATTGATTCATAGAAAAGGGAACCACCGGGCGTTACTCCGAGAGAACTTGCGCGAGTGGCTGAAAATTTCAATTTTCGCCTGGTTACACTAGACAGGTCGTGCCATCTAGCGGGGCGCAGTTGAAAAAAAGACTCGTCTTTCATTTTGGAGCCATCGGCAAAAAGTTGATTATTGGCCGTTGTTGCTGCTGTAGTTCCCACTGTTTTCGTTTTGTCTACTGGTGTCGGTGACCGCGCAGTAAATCAGGGCAACTTTGTTCACGGCAACAGTGAAGTGAGTCGGTCCACTTCTGGAGGGGAATTATTTGAAGTACGCTAACCCAATGCAGGCCACTAAAACACGACCTTATTCAAAAATAATCATTCCTTACCACAAAAGTAAAACTACAAAGTTTCTCGACCACTATTTCAACAATCAAAGTCGACTAAATAGTTGTCTTAGTGTCTATTTAATACAAAACCCTTCGCAGGTATGGAGGAAGAAAAAAATATAGGAGATGCCATGACGTCATATTCGTGAAGGCGCCGCATCGCAAACAAGCGCCCTATCTCCTAGCGGAAAAGCAGAAAAACACTTCGCGATTTCCGGCAACCAGCCGCCGCAGCGGCCTTGGAAGCGGTGTTCTCTGGCGGCAGCGAGTCAATCCACGAGTGCTGCTTCTTTGTAGTGTTTTTTTTTTCTATAGAAAAGCTGTGCAATGCCCAACTCTATTGTATACTCGGTGCGAATCTCTTACACCACGAAATGTACCTGGTGGCACTTTTCACGTATGTTCGCTTCACTGTTTATGTCATGTGCATGCGGAGCTTTCAGCTCTACGCTCCATTGCTACTTACTCATTGTGTCAACTGAAAACACACGTGAACTTTCGTTTTTACTTTTGTAGGCATCGTGTTGCGTTTTTAGAAGTTCAGTCGTTCATACGGAAGGACAATTAGCTTTTCTTGTTACCGGTATAAGTGGGTATGCATTGTACGGTGTGCGCTCGCTGCGTGTTAGTTGTGTGCGCATTGGAAATACACATTTTACGTGCACGATCACGTATACAATACAGCAGTGCCTTCTTACCGAAGTGAATTAAATCAAGCAATAGGCTGAGGAATAGCTACGAAACAAGCTCACAAAATCGTGCATTGCCACACTGACACCACTGACACTATATACGAGCAAAGAACTGCTAATCGGCCCGTAGATCAGGAAATATGGCTAAGAGAGAGAGAGAGACAGAGAGAGAGAAAAGGCTTTGTGGCGAGCAGAACGCGTAAGTCACTGCCGGGTGAGTTCGAATATGATGATGCAGGGGCTGCATGATTTTCATTACGACGCGTACCGGTGCCTTCTGTGCCGTTGCACAAAAACACTCCACGAAGTAATTCAGCACGCCATGCTCGGGCCTTGCACGCACGAACAGTCTCGGAAAGGTATGCTCGCAACATTTTACCGCATGCAAACCATACCATACGCGTTATGTTAACGCCGGGACTATATAGGAGAAACAGCGCGGAGAGCATTCTGCAGGCGGAGCATCTGCTGTTTTGTTTGCTACATACCGGTTTGTTTGCCCCAGAAATTTGACGTCACTTCCACCACACCACATGCCTCGCCGCGGTGGTCTAATGGCTAAGGTACTCGGCTGCTGACCCGCAGGTCGCGGGTTTGATTCCCGGCTGGGGCGGCTGTGTTTCCGATGGAGGCGGAAATGTTGTAGGCCCGTGTACTAATTTTTGGGTGCACGTTAAAGAACCCCAGGTAGTCAATATTTCCGGAGCCCTCCACTACGGCGTCTCTCATAATCAAATGGTGGTTTTGGGACGTTAAACCCCACAAATCAATCAATCAATCAACTTCCACCGCACTTCTCGCAATGCATAGGGATAGGATAGGGCCTCTCCTTTGTTTTTCCCTCCTCTATCTTTCCACGCCTGTGGCGAGTATATATAGAGTTATAACACTCGAATCACCCCCTTCGCTGTCGTCACTGGGGCGCTATGCAGACTTGTCCGAGCTTCTCTGGCACACGATTTTTTTTCCAAGTTCGCGCTGCGGTGGTCATGACAGGAAGACACTGTGGTACGCCCGATGGCAGCGTTGATAAAAACGGCTACAAAATTTGCATGGTGTTACCAGTGCGTTTGCGTCGATTTTCGAAGGAACGCCGCGGGTCGACTCGTCACTGCTGCCACCCAGTTAACATTTCAGCAGTGGAGTGATGTCAGCCTGATTGTCACGCTGTATTTTTGCTTGCCAATTAATTGTGGCGCCTTTCACAGGCGCGTTTGTGAGCATTTGTCTTCTTTAGAGAAAGTACTGACTTTCGTTCCTTATACGTTGCATCGAAATCCCCGCTCCCGAAGGCAACAAGGGCGCACACACTACACTCTCTGCCACTAGCTTGGTTGCTGTCGGATATTACAGATACATGAACTGGTTAACGGACTGGTTTGTTTTCGTTTGTTGTATTGAATCCAATGAGTTGCTAGAATATTGTGGAAAATGTAAATTTAGCGACTTCTAAACTTCGCTTTTAAGAGTTGCACGTGACAGGAATATCCTCTCCCTGGTGCATACTTCAACCACGTAGTACGTACCTTTATTGTATATACTCTAGAACATGATGTCGTGGGTTACTACAATGTAATCGATAAAGTTGAAAGTGGCTTGTGTCAGTGAAGCCTTCGCATAAGGCTCCGTTCTCTGTTCAGGGTAAGATGCCTAAACTATGATATTGTGAAGTCTTTTGGAACGTGCAATGCATCCACTACGTGGTCTCAAGGGAATATGCGCAGTAATGTCTGAGCCTTCTATAATGGGTGGCATGGTAACCACGTAGTCATTGTAATAATCACATGTTCTGCCACGCAGTGAAAGTGTACGTTTTTACTACGCAATATTACTGCGATATTACGTTTTGTACTTTGAAGCCTGTATACACGACGCATGTGTTTGTGAAGCAGGAACATTCTTTTCCCTGTATTTTTGAGCATCTTAATCTCTCTATTTCAAAGAGAACGCGTGTCTGTGGGGTAAAACACCCGCTAAACCCACGAACGGCCCGAATTCGGCCCTTCCTCATACCAGAAATCAATTTATATTTTATTTGGATCTGTCTTGATTTTTCGGACACACGCACACGCACAACGATGATTTTCAGCTCTCGGCCAACGACACCGGCACCAATGCCGGAATCTCTGCGAAACGAGTTGTATAACGCTATCACTTTGAAAGATGGTTTACTGCTACAATCAATTGATTGATTTGTGGGGTTTAACGTCCCAAAAACACCCTATGATTATGAGAGACGCCGTAGTGGAGGGCTCCGGAAATTTTGACCACCTAGGGTTCTTTAACGTGTGCCCAAATCTGAGTACACGGGCCTACAACATTTCCGCCTCCATCGGAAATGCAGCCGCCACAGCCGGGATTCGATCCCACGACCTGCGGGTCAGCAGCCGAGAACCTTAGCCACTAGACCACCATGGCGGGGCCTGCTACAGTCAATAACATAAAGGCCACAAAATTTCCCTCTTGTTTACTGGTGTTAAAAAGCCTGCATGCGCTAGAAGCTCTCGTAAGCATAGAGTTTCTTAAATATACACTAGATGGAACTCTAGTGTGTATTTATGAGAATATGCCAACAATGAAATGCAGGAATTGGCGCCTTTGATCAGAAGCGCATACTAACAGTGGATTAGAAATACTATAAAACTGAAGTCATGCAAGGGTTCACCGAAACAGATTCGTTATTTCCTTCATCTGAAACGATAATGGAGTCACCATGACTTTCTTTATTATCTGCGTACAAATGAGGATTGCGAGGCAATTTCACCTAAAACAGCAGCTTCCGAGATCCCGGAAAAGCTTTTGCCCCTGACTAGGGTCCCACTACGGCTACGGAGTACACTCCATGAATATTTTTTGGTCGTTCACGACCAATGACGCTTACACCGACACCGACATTGCGGTGGGTTAACAAACTTTTGTTAACCCGCCGGGAAAGCTCGCTGTGTCCACGATTATACTTTCTATGGCGTGACTGTGGTGAGGCTTAGGTGCAATACCTAAACAAAATTCACTGCTCTTTATCTATGGCATCCTATATAAGCAGGAATATTGAAACTTCAAATGAACTCATGTATAAAGATGTTTAATGTAAGACAATTAACCAGACGTACGTGAATAAAATACGTAATAAAGCGCGATGGAACGAATTTACAAGTCCAACGCTGCAGTTCTCATTTGAACTGCTCGTCATGGGTCCAGTCTTTACGGTGTCAGAGCTGCATCTTAAGTCGTGGATGACATGGCGGAATAGCGATCAGCTTGCGTGGTGGAAGAGACTACGAGAATGGCAGAGATGGAGTAAAGAAGGATGCCTCGCCTCCGTCGCTAGGTCATTCTGACTTTCCGTGGGCTCCAGTGGACGTGGTGGGCGGGTGCCATTGGGGGACACGCACAACGCCCTTTACCATGCGTGGAGTTGAACAGCCCCTCCAGCACTGCCTCCATACACTCTAGCACGTCCACACACCACAGTGCTGGGTTCATGGTGACTATCCGGTGCCGGGCCCTTGTGCGAAGAGGAAGAAGCGGCGCCTTGCACCGCTGTCGCAGTACAGTTGCCTTCCGTGGTATCGATTTCATCAGACCGAGGTGAACACGTTGAAGGAGCTTCTAACTTCATGGTCACAGGAATGTCTGGCGGTGTTGTCACGCCGCCACTGGACGGGGGAACAGTAGGAGGTGAGTTGTGCTGAGTACCCGTGGACACCGGATTCCTCAGGGCGGAAGCGGTGGCTGTCGAAGTTTCAGCATCCGACCACCGGCGACGGCTTGCTTCTGGTACCTTGGACCACATTTCAGTTGTTATCCGGTCACGGAATCCTCTCCGATAACGTTCTTCACAGCTCAAGTTGTGGGCTTTAGACATTTCTTCGAGCCTGGAACCTCTGAGCCAAGTCGACGCCATGCTTGTCGTTTTCATACGTATTCACTTTACCTGCGTCCGAACTCGTACAGAGCGATGAACTGCTGCAGTCAGCCTGGCTGAGCAATAGAACAGACAGAGAGCGCGCCTTTGTGACTCTCGTGACACGTTCGCGCTGCTCGCGACTGCAGCCACGCAATGTGCGCAGCGATGCGCAGGGATGATGGTGACGCTAAAACCAGGGTTGCATATCGAAAAGGCAGAAATTAGCTTAGAAATTGGAAGCCATACACCTATAACAATTTTCTTTTGATACGTATGACAAATATACACTAATCTCGCATGATCGTACCAGAACACATTACTTACTTATTTATTTACACATATGTGCTCATAAAAAATGATTAGATACGAGCCGTATGTTTCATGTAAGAATGTTTGCAAGGAAAGCCGCCAACTTCAGTTAATGAAAATAGAGGTCGTTAAAAGTAGTCTCGTTCAGTGATAGATGGTCTTCAAAATGAAGCTCCATGCCCGACTTTTATCCGGACTCTCAGTCATGGAGCGGTGTAGCAAGGTTTTTTTTTTTAAATAAAAGTAGGGACGGGGAGCAGGGGTAATAACTAAATTTATGAATTTTTGCGCGTGCGTTTGTAGGTGGGTTTACTTATAGAGGCAAGCAAAATCCAGAAACTTTGTGTTTGAACCCCTCCCCCTTCCCCTACTCCCACCCCCGTTGGCTAGGCCCCTGTTTTTGCATATAAAAAAAGCCATTTATTTTCTTATTGCAAGTGCCCAGTTTGATTGATTTGACAGCGCATACTCGAAAAGCAGTGGCTGTGATGTCACAGAATAAATTTAATCATTTGGTTCAAATCGAGGCAAAGAGATAGTAGCCGAAAATGAACAAGAAGCCACAACGTTTTTCTGCAACCAACGGCTTCAAATTAGCCAAAGTTGTGCAAAGTAGCCACACCTGGAAGCCTGGCTTAATCGGCGCACAGTCCTTTTGTGGCATTGAAGGTTCACGAAAGTTCTTCAGTTCTCAAATTTGCCTGGCCGGCACGCATCATCCCCTGCGGTGCAATGGAATCTGGTGGGCGCATTCCAGATTGAGGCAGAAACGCTTGACGCTCTTGTACTTATCGATTTAAGTCGACGTTAAAGGATGGCAAGTGGTCAACATTTCTGAAGCCTACAACTACGGGGTCTTTCCTAATGATATCACGGCTTTGAGGTAGCCCCCATCCATTATTAATATAAAAAATAGGGATGTGCGTAGAGGCGGGGGGGGGGAGGGTAGCGTTGACTCTAGGCCTCCCTAAAGGGACACTAAATTCAAATACCAATTTACGTCAAACTGAAAGCTCAATGTATGACAACATCAAAAAAAGACAACATTGTCAACAGAAGTGGCCTACTTACCGAGAAATTAGGGGAACTGCCCAAGAATGCATGCGCTGCAGTAGGACATTCTCAAAAATATACCAATGAAGTAGGACGAACCACCTACAATTAATCACGAGTAATCAATCTAGTTCCTCTGAATAGAGAACCTTCTGGGGATCAAAAAACGCAATAAAATGCTGCTTGTTCGTTTTTGTTTGATTCATAGAACAAAGAACCGCCGGGCGATACTGCGGGCAATGGCGCGAGTGACTCAAAAATTAAATTTTCGCCTGGTTATATTAGACACGTCGTGCCATCTAGCGGGGCGCAGTACAACCAAAACATGTCTTCCATCTCGGAGCCATTATCAAGAATTTACTTATTGGTCGTTGTTGCGGCTGTGGCTCTCCCTGTTTTCATTCTGTCTACTGGTGTCGGCGACCGCGCAGTAAATCTGGGCAACTTTGTTCACGGCAACAGTGACTTGAGTGGTGCCATCTCGCAGATGTCGATACCGATTGCGCTAGCGGCGGCTTCTCCTTGACCACACTACCCCATATTCTAGTACACTATAGCATTATATACGAAAACACAGCTGTGGAGGAAAGACAAACGGGAGAGGGGAAACGAAGTGGAGGCAGCGTCTCCCACCTCTTCTCACCTCCTCAGGAGGAAGCGGAAAGTCGCCTGGGGACGGTTGCTGTCAACTACTTCAAAGCGTTTTTGATTGATGCTGCAGCAAAATGAATCTCACAAACAAATGGACACCTTGGAAAATGGCGTGTGCCATGGGGGAACTCGGAATGCCCAAAAGCGGGCAAACAGCAAAACAGAGCATGGAGGTTGCTTCGGAACTCACCGACAGCCGAAAATCCTGACACCTTCAAGAAAATAAAGTTTCAAGGCAGGAGAACGCGGCGGGGCCTGAGGAGAAAGCTGGCAGTCGACCATGAATTTGCATATTGTTTTCCCGTTACTATCATATCTGGTGTTCGCTGACGTGTCGCACTTGTTTACTTAACATTACAGTCTTTCATTGTGGTGTTGCTAAGAGCGAGGGAACAAAAAAAAATGTAAAAGAAAAGGACCGTTTCGTTGGCAAGAAGCAAAGGTGATCAAGGGCACGCAGCTATGAGCCTGAGTAGAAGGTGAAACTGGAAATGGCCCACCGTAGAAATAGGTGCCGTGAGAGGTACGATAAAAGAATTCGAGACTACCTCGTTCGTCTGCACTTCAATAAGCTGCCTCCAAATCAACGCCGCCCGAAACACTCTCGCTGAACACTGCGAATAGATTGACCACCGCGTCAATTTCGACGACGCTTAGGCATCGACACGGAGAGTGGTAACCAGAAAAGACAGTTCTGGCACAGTCATGGCACATCCAAACAACGCCTCGAAATGTTAACCGCTCAAGGGGAACCCTTACTCAGTGCGTACGTGCACGGTCTACGGAACAATCGAATTGCAGCCGCCGCTGCCGGGATTTTTCGAATGTTTCCTGGGAACATAGTTTTCAGCAAAGCTTGTTTTAGAGTACTTTTTAAACATAAATTTTTAGCACAGTTTGTTGGCTCGATGGGCCACGGGGTACGTAAAAAGGTAGTGCAATTCATACCTGGTGATAATCTGTTCAAAAACTTCTTTCAAAATGTGTTTCAGTGATAAGTGTTCCTCCATGCAGGCTTTATCTTTACGGCGCCAAGAAAAGTATAGTTGCCTCAAGGCAGGGACACAAAAAATACAGCTGCATAATGTACAGACTAACTTTTAAACGCCCTTATCATGCCATGGCAAAAGCCGAGTGGCAGATTGTTAGTCTCACAATAGGAAGAGCAGTGGTTCGAATCCCGGTTGCGTGCTCATTTCGCGAAAGTGTTCCTAGACCTTTTAAAGTTTAATTTCTAAAGTTTTATCGCACATTCATGAAATAGACATGGAATATTTGTCATTGAAATTCCCACCACAGAAGTAGCATAATGGTATGAGCGTCTGTACTGAATAGGTGCACAACATTTCCCCAGATTTTTCGTACGTGAAATAGCCAACACAATGAATAGACTCTTTGTTAGGGTCACTCTCACGGCACTTTCCAGCAGGCGGGTGTTCCCCGCAGACCAACGTATTGACTGAACACTTCCATCGGACACTATCGGACATGATCGTCATGTACATTCACCCCAACCACACGAACTGGCATGTATTTCTACCCTTCGTGACATTCTCTTATACTCCGGCTACTCAACGCTTAATAGTTTGGTTATTGGAGCCATTGAATTTTATCACCAAGCCCAGGACCCGGATAAAATCCACCCTTGGAATGGTGCTTCCGCTCATGGTATAGAGCGTTAGCTCAGGCTGCAAACCCAGGGGATAAATTCGAACAGAGAAGAACGAGATAACGCTCTATATACCATGAGCGGAAGCCAATTGGAAGCCAATGGCTCCAATAACCAAACTATTCAGCGTATTGGTAAGAAAGTGCATAATGCAATCAAGCTCATCAAAAAAAGTATCTAACCGCCAACAAGGGCTTGGGTGACGACTGACTTGGAAATGGCAACGCAATAATACAGGTGCATAGCAAGTTCAAAAACATTGCACGCGCATATTATCTCGTGGTTTAAAACATGCTTTACTAACCATTACAAATAATCCATTCATATGCGGAAGCTTTACTAACACAAGTCGCTTTGAACGTAACCGATTATACACTGTATTGATCAACAATTTCAACTTCTCGAGTAACATCAAAAAATAAAATGAAGCACGCACTAAGTGGTAGAAGTAAGCACTATGGAAACGATATTGCTATCGTGTTCGACTCTTAAAGGCGAAGCTTAAGGGTCCACAAGCAGCGCTAGTAGTCCACCCGCACGAACTGCCCACGTTTTTTTTTTCTTTTATTTAGGTTACAAACCTACACTTGAAGCCTCTAAGAAGTGAGATTAAAAGTCCCGCCCTTACACAATAAAACTAAAACATGATATCTTCCTATAATATTTTAAAGAAGTGGTAGCCACAACCTTAGGAGTTACTGAAAAATTTTTCTCTATCTAAATATCTTAAATTAGGAAAACAGCTTTCCGGGTTTTCAGTACCCCAAGGGAAGAAATTACGGTTCTTATTTTAATTATAAAAATTAGGGAGCTCAAGGACTAAAAGCGATATTTTAAGTCACTGAAATGTGTTTTACGTGTATACAGGCGCATATTGGAGCCTTATAATTACGTTTGATTGCTGAAATGTGGCTCAGCGAACAGCAATTACGTACACACTAAAATGCTGGAATTGCAGCCTTTGATGAGAAGCGCATGCACGCTAACATTAAATTGGAAACACTATAAAATTTAAGTAATTCATTAGTTCACTGAAATAGATTGCTTTTTTCCTTCATCTGAAACGGAAATAGAGTAACTGCTATTTTTTTATCACCTGCATATAAATAAAGATTGCGCGGCAATTGACTAAAACTGCAGCTTCCGAGATTTTCGCCCCGGACTACGATGTTACTACCGCTAACGTGTATGATCATTGAATACGTTTTGGTCATATTCCCAACCAGAACCAATGATTCTGACACTGATACCGACATTTCTGAAAAAACCAGCCCGTTAATCCACCGAGATTGCTCGATGTGCCTACGATTATAACTTCTATGACATGTCTGCGGTGAGGCTCAGGTGCAATGACTAAAAACATTCACTGCTCCTTAACTATGACATCCTCTATGAGCAGGAATACTGACACTCCAAACAAAATCAGGTATAAAAATGTTTAATGTAAAATAATTAACAAGACGTAAAGAAATACAATACGTAAAAAAGCGCAAGGGAACGAATTAACAAGTCTAATACCGCAGTTCTCATTTGAAATTCACATCATGGGTCCAAGCTTCGCGGTGTCGGAACTGGCTCTTACGTCGAGGATGACTTGGCAGAATAGCGATCAGTCTGCATGGATGAAACAAAGGACGAGGATGGCAGAGGTGGATAAAAGAAGGATGCCTCGCCTTCGTTGCCAGGTCATTCTGAACACCCGTGGACTCCAGTGGACGTGGTGGGCGGGTGCCGTTGGTGGCCGAACACAACGCCCTCTACCATGCGTGGCGTTGATGAGCCCCTCAAGCGCTTCCTGCTACACTTCTACCACGTCCAGATATCACAGATCTGGGCTTATGGCGACTATCTGTTACGGCACCCTTGTGCGATGAGGAAGAAGCGGCGGCTTGCACCGCCATCGGAGTACAGCTGCCCTTCGTGGTGTTTCCCATGGTTGCAACTCCATCGGAACAAGGTGAACACGGTGAAGAAGCTGTTTGCTTCATGGTCACAAGGATGTCTGGTGATGTTGCGACGCTGGCACTAGATGTGGGAGCAGAAAGGGGCGAGTTATCCTGAGTACCTGTGGACACTGGATTCCTCAGGGCGGAAGCGGTGGCTGTCGAAGTCTCAGCTTCGGAGCACCAGCGACGACTCGTTTCTGGTGCCATAGGACACATTTCGGTTGTTATCCGGTCGCTGAATCTACTCCGATAACGTTCACCACAGCTCAAGTTTTGGGCTTCCGACATTTCTTCGAGCCTGGAGCCTCTCCGCCAAGTCGACGCCATGCTTGTCGCTCTTCGGCAGCAGGAGATATGTATTCACTCTACCATCGTCTGAACTCGAAAAGCGCGTTGAACAGTCAGCCTGGCTGGCGAATGGAACAAGCAGAAAGCGTGCCTTCGTGACGCTCGCGACACGTTCCCGCAGCTCGTGACTTTAGCCACGCGATATGCGCAATAACGGAACGCGATGATGATTCGCAGCGACGATGGTGACGCTACAAGCAGGTTTATATGCCAGAAAGGCAGAAAGTAGCTGAGAAATCGAAAAAAAAAGACAAAAGACTCCAACTTCAGACAACGGCAGTAAAAGTCGACAAAAGTATCGATAGGTGGTGGATACAAAATAAACCCTGTGCAAGGCTTTTCTCCGGAGTGTCAGCCACGCAAGGGCGGAGCCGAATTTGTCTCGGGGGGGGGGGGGGGGGAGAGGTAATACTATATTTTTTTATTGTTCGGGCGTACCCTTTGTATTTGTTTGTACATATGCAGTGAAGCAAAATCACAAAATCTCGGGAGGGTTTGGTCCACCCCACCCCCTAGCTATGTACCTTTAGCCACATATACTGAGAAGGCCCGAGTTCAACTCGAGACTGCCATAGCATCGGTTTGATGGCCAACTGTTTCACGTGGGCAAATTATTTCAGGTGAAGCGGTTTATTGCTTAAGTAAGGTGTAAATAGCGAAAGCTTACTTTCTTTTTGGGCCTCGCCCTTTGGACATTCTGACGGAAATGTTCCTGATGGAGTTTCTCATAGGTTGAAAAAAATAGACTACATAAGCAATCTTTACTCCAGTTATTTTTCCTTCCAATTAAGTGAATAAATGAATTAATAAATAAAATTGCCTAAATTTTCCCACGTTTTCAAGAAACGTTCATGTTAGCTTATACAATGACTTTAAGGGAACGACGCACGAAGTGAGGCCATGTGAACCTTCGTTTTGAAATCTAGATGCACTCGAACGAAGCAAATATGCGATTGTATATTACCCGTACAAAACATGGGATTTTTGTGATGGCAGAGGAAACAACAGCACATCTAGAAATATTGAAAAGAAACGCATCGAGATCGCTCGATGCGTGTACGAATATAGTTTCTGTGGTGAGACCATGGTGAGGTGCAGGTGCAATGAATAAATACCTAAAAGACTACTACTTCTATAGTACTGCATCCTTTGTAAGTAATCGTAAAACATCAAGCAAAGTCAAGTATAAAAATATTTTATGTAAGATCGTTAACAGGACGTGTATGAATACCGTACGCACAATTAACATAAATATGCCAACAAATACGTTCACTGCCACAGTTCTCAGTTGAACTGCACGTTATCGTTACAGCTTTTCCGGTGTCGCAACTGCCTGTGTAGTCGCAGATAACATGGCGGCATAGCCCTCTGTTTGCATGGGCGTTGGAGATGACGGGCATGGCAGGAATGGAGGGAAATTCACTACCTCGCCTTGGTTGCCAGGTCGATCTGAAGGCCCACTTACTCTAGTAGACGTGGTGGGCGGGTGCCTTCGGTGGCCGGGCACACGCCCTTTACCATGCGTGGAGTTGAAGAGCCCCTCCAGCGCTTCGTCCATACACTCCAGCTTGTCCACACACCACAACGCTGGGCATATGGCGACTATCTGTGACAGGGCCCTTATGCGATGAGGAAGAAGCGGCTGCTTGCACCAGCGTCGGAGTACAGCTGTCCTCTGTTGTATCAATTTCATCGAAATGAGGTGAACACGTTGAAGGAGTTACTAACTTCATGGTCACAAGGATGTCTGGCGATGTCACTTCGCCGTCACTGGACGGGAGAACAGTAGGAGGCGAGTGTTGCTGAGCACTCGTGGGCTCCGGATTCTTCACGGCGCAGACGGGGGCTGTAGAAGTCTCAGCCTTGGACCACCGGCGACGACTCGCTTCTGGTACCATAAAAGACATTTCAGTTGTTATCCGGTCACGGAATCCTCGCCGATAACGTTCACCACAGCCGAAGTTGTGGGCTTTAGGCAGTTCTTCGAGCCTGGAACCTCTGTGCCAAGTCAACGCCGTGCTTGTCGCCCTTTCGGCAGCAGGAAACACGAACTTACTATACTGATGTCTGAAGTCGAACAGCGCCACGTCAAATGCAATCGCCCTTGCTGAGGAACAGAACAGGCAGAGAGCGTGCCTTTGTGACGCCCGTGACACGTTCCCGCAGCTCGCACTCCAGCCACGCGATGTGCACGATGAAAGAGCGTGATGATGATTTCCAGCGATGATGTCAACGCTAAAGCTCGGGTTGCATGTCGAAATTGCAGAAATAAGCCAAGATATTGAAAAAATTACACCTATAGAGAATTTTCATATGATATGTATGATAGATAAGAACAAATTTTGCATGATCATACGCTTACACATGATTTATATGCATTCACACGAGATTATTGGATACGAAGCATATGGGTGATATGAGATTGCTTGATAGGAAAGTCGCCAATTTCAGCCAACAACAATAGAGGTCGCCAAATTTAGTTTCGTTTAGTTATAGATGGTCTGCAAAACGAAGCTCCCTGCCGAAGTCTCAGTTAGAGAAAGGCGTATACCCAGATTTTTTTTTTGGGGGGGGGGAGGAGGAGGAATGGGGAGCGGGGTTATTACCTAACTTTATGAATGTTTGCGCGTGCGTTTTTACATATATATATATATATATATATATATATATATATATATATATATATATATATATATATATATATATATATATATATATATATATATATTATATATATATATATATATATATATATATATATATATATATATATATATATATATACATATATATATATATATATATATATATATATATATATATATATATATATATATTACGGAGTCTTGGTTTGGAAGACCTTATTAGGCCCGACCGCCAGCCGACAGCTGAGATAAACGAACCAAGATGATGATGCTACGAGACAACGATGAGGATGCATGAGCAACACATGATAATGATGATAATGTACAGATGAAGAGGATTGGTATACTAAATGCCCACACTAATTCCCCTCACGTGAAAGCGGCCAGCCTGGCCGCGGCAAGTCAAGGGGACAAAGAACGTCGCATGAAGGGCTTCATACGGGAGACATGGACGACCTCAGTAGTTCGATAACGGCGATCAGCTGGGGCTACAAGTGGCGTCACGCGATAATTCACTGGCGAAGTTTCTTCAAGAACTGTGTACGGCCCGATAAACCGTGGCTGGAATTTGTCGCACAAACCAGGTGTGCGAATAGGCGTCAAAAGAAGCACTTCGTCTCCAGGTTGAAAGGATACAGCACAATGGGATTCATCATAAACCAGCTTTCTGTCTTGCTGTCGGGCTTCAGTGTTTATACGAGCACGTTGGCGGCTCTCGGCGAGCCGTAAAATGTATTCCTCTGAAGAGGATGGAGATGAATTCACATGGCAGGTAAAGAAAGAGACGTCCAGGAGAGAAGTAGGGGAGCGTCCATAAACTAGGTAAAATGGTGAGTAGCCGGTTGTCCGCTGAATAGCCGTATTGTAGGCAAAAGTGACGAATGGTAGGACTACATCCCAGTTCTTGTGGTCTGGTTGAATGTAGGCGGCGATCATGTCAGAAAGAGTGCGGTGAAATCGCTCAGTGAGGCCGTTAGTTTGGGGATGATAACTAGAGGCAGTCTTGTGAGTTGTGCCAGAAGCGCGAAGAAGTTCGTTCACTAGTTGTGAAAGGAAGGCCCTTCCACGGTCACTGAGCAATACACGTGGAGCACCATGACGCAGTATAATGGCTCGGAGGATGAAATCGGCAATTTCCAAAGCTGAACCGGTAGTGACGGATGCCGTCTCGGCGTAGCGCGTCAAATGGTCAACGGCTGTTACTATCCATCGGTTTCCAGCAGCACTGACTGGAAGGGGGCCATAAAGATCGATGCCTACAACTTCGAAGGGTGTGGCTGGGCACGGAAGAGGCTGTAGTGTACCGGCTGGAGCAGATGTGGGTAGTTTTCTAGATTGACAGGTAGTGCAGGACCCAACGTACCGAGCTACACTAGTGGTAATACCTGGCCAATAAAACCGACTTCGAAGGCGATCGTAGGTTTTGTGATAACCAAGGTGACCTGCCGTTGGATGGTCATGAAGTGCTCTGAGGACTTCGGACCGAAGCGATCGGGGTAGAACGGGAACCCAGCGCTGACCGTCAGGATGGTAAATTTTGCGGTACAGCACCGAGTTGTCCAGCTTAAACTGCGAGAGTTGGCGACGGAGCCTCGCATTAGGTGGATGGGAACTGCCAGTGCGGTAGCCTATAATACGTCGACAGTATGGGTCAGCCAGCTGTCGAGAAAAAAAATCGTGCGGGTCGTCCGAAGGCAGCTGGTCCATAGAGGCGAGAGAGGAAACCGCCGTAGACGTGGTCTCCGAGGGCGTGTTGTGCAAAGTGATTGCGGAAACGCTGAGGGGAGCCGCTGGTAGTGGGCAGCGAGAGAGAGCATCGGCGTCGCTATGCTTTCTGCCACACTTGTATACGATGTCAAAATCATATTCTTGTAGGCGTAGAATCCAGCGGCCGAGGCGTCCCGACAAGTTCTTGAGTGTCGAAAGCCAACATAAAGCATGGTGGTCGGTCACGATGGTGAAATGGCGGCCATGAAGATAGGGACGAAATTTCTGTACTGACCAAACGATGGCGAGGCACTCCTTCTCGGTGATCGTGTAGTTCCTCTCGGCTGCGGAGATGACGCGGCTGGCGTACGCAACGACTCGCTCTCGCGAAGAGTTGTCGCGCTGGAGGAGCACGGCTCCTAAACCGTGGCCGCTAGCGTCTGTATGGAGGAAGGTCGGTGCACCATCGTGAAAGTGAGAAAGTACAGGATCGGTCGTGAGGGCACTCTTCAATTTGTCGAAAGCCGATTCACATTCCTGAGACCACTGAAAGGGCGTACCAGAAGCAAGTAGCTTATGTAGTGGTGCGGCCATGGAGGCAAAGTTTTGTATGAATCGCCGAAAGTAAGAGGCGAGACCAAGGAAACTTCGCAAATCTTTCGGCTTGTCAGGGCGAGGGAATCGAAGCACCGCAGCAGTTTTCTCAGGGTCTGGACGAATTCCGTCCTTGCTCACAACATGACCGAGGACCTTGATAGATCTGCTGGCGAAATGGCACTTCTTGGTGTTAATTTGAAGACCAGCGCCCGCAAGGCAAGTCAGGACCTCGTCCAAGCGTTGCAGATGTTGAGGAAACGTCGATGAAAATACAACAATGTCATCGAGGTAACATAGGCAAGTCTTCCATTTCAGGCCACGCAGTACGGTGTCAATCAAGCGCTCAAAAGTTGCGGGCGCATTGCATAGACCAAACGGCATAACATTGAATTCGTATAGGCCGTCCGGGGTTGCAAACGCAGTTTTTTCTTTGTCCTCTTCGTGCATGGGGATTTGCCAATAGCCGGAACGCAAGTCGAGGCTTGAAAAGAATTCAGCACCTTGTAAAGAATCGAGGGCGTCGTCGATACGTGGCATGGGGTATACGTCCTTCCTAGTGATCTTATTGAGTGCTCGGTAATCGACGCAAAATCATACGGAACCGTCTTTTTTACGCACCAGAACCACTGGAGACGACCAAGGACTGGTTGAGGGTCGGATTATCTCCCGTTGCAGCATATCGTCTACGTTTTCCTCAATGATTTTTCGTTCGGCTAGGGAGACGCGGTACGGACGACGATGCACAATGGATGTTCCGTCGGTCTGAATACGATGTGCTGTAGCAGTTGTCTGACCCAGGCTGGATGAATGAACGTCAAAAGAGTTTGCATGCTTTTGCAACAAATCAAGCAGCTGCTGCTTCTGCGAGTCTGTCAAGTCCTTGTTGATGGCTACTGTAAAGGCCGAGGAAGCAGCATGATCTCCAGGATGGCCTTTAGAGGAGGCAGGGGTAAGAGGCACGACGCACACAGGCTCCAGATCGGCAACGCAGGCGACAGTAGTGCCCCGCGGCAGTAAAATTTTATCTGGTGTGGTGTTCGTAGCAGCGAGGACAGCTGATCCATCGTTGAAGCGAGCCACACCTGATGCGAGAGCTATGCCTTTATTAAGGCAACGGGGCGATGGAGTTACCAAAATGTCACCAGAGTCGACGTCGTTGGACAAAGCTGTGACTAATTGATGTTCGTTCGGGGGTAACTCGATGTCTACAGCAGCGATGAGTCGAAGTGGCCTGTAGGTTTCGTCACTAAGCAAGTGGTCTGTGTCAGTAAGATGGACGACACGTTGTGCACAACAAATAGCCGCGGAAGCAGACGAAAGAAAGTCCCAGCCTAAAATGAGTTCGTGGGAGCACGGGGATAGCACAGCGAATTGTATGTGATGAAGAATGTCGTCGATTAGCACACGGGCAGTACGGAGAGTGGAAGGGCGAATCATCGTTCCCTGGGCTGTAACCAGTGTTGGTCCATCATAAGGCGTCGTGACTTTTCGAAGACGGGCACACAAATCAGCACGAATAATAGAAAACCCAGCCCCAGTGTCCACCAAAGCATCAACGTCTACTCCCTCAACTGAAACTGCAATCATATTGTAAGGGCGCGCTGGAGGAATTGGAGTACTGTGTAGGAATGCAGTTTGTCCTCCAAAAACTGCATTGCTTAGTTTTCCGGACGCCGATCAGAAGCGAGGGAAGCAGGCTGAAGAGGAGAAGAGGAGCGACGGTAGGGCGATGGTGAACGGCGTCTGGTTGATCGAAGACTACTGCGCAGTTCACCGGATGCTGGCGGAGATGGAGACCGACGCGGCGGTGACGAATAACGACGGCCCTGGTACAAGGCTCCTGCGATATAGTCTCGTTCACGTATGTCGTACCCTCGGCGCTCATCTTGCTGGCGCTTGCGGCAAAAGCGTGAAATGTGACCACGATAGCCGCAATAATTGCACGTAGGGCGAGTCGATCGATAAGGAGGGTGGTAGCTTGTGTTAGATGCACCGGAAGAGAGAGCAGTGAGAGGGACAAATGATGGCTCAGGCGGTGGTGATGCAAAGCTCGTGGGAAAGCTTCTGGGAGGTGCGGCAGCAACCGACGCGTACGTTCGTGGTGGCGACGTCGAGCTGACGGTGCCTGATGGTGCGGCGACGGCATGCGAGAACGATGGGAGAGTACGATCGACAGTGGGCTGCAGGTGGGCCATATGGGTCATGGACGTAAGCTCCTCCCTGATGACATCCCGCAATGACGTTGAAGAAGGCTGAATGGTACATACTGAAGGTAGTGTGAATCCCATTGATTCTAATTCTTCGCGTATTATCACCCTTATCGTTTCTCGTAGGTTTGGATCAGTCGTAATACGGGCCGCGTCGCTGTCCGGTTGTAGGCGCATCGACTCAAGTTCTTTGAGGCGCTGACAGGTTGTCGCAACGTCAGCAACGGTAGCCGGATTCTGGATTGCAAGGGCATTGAATGCGACGGGTCCAATGCCCTTAAGAAGCTGGCGTACCTTGTCTGACTCTGTCATTGGGGTGTCAACCCGTCGGCAAAGTGAAAGGACATCCTCGATGTAGGATGTATACGACTCCCCGATGTGCTGTTTCCGAGTCGCAAGAGCTTTCTTTGCGAGAGCTGAACGGACAGCTGGTGTGCCAAAGACATGGCGAAGCTGATCTTTGAAGGCTGACCAGTCGGGGATGTCCATGAAGTGGTTGAGGAACCACGTCTTCGCGACACCCGTGAGGTAGAATGACACGTAAGCGAGTTTGTAGGTGTTATCCCACCGGTTAGCAGCGCCGACCCGTTCGAAATCGTCCAGCCATTCCTCCACATCTTCCCCGCGCATACCAGCGAAGGGATGGGGCTCACGCTGGAGGCTGTTAATGACGTGAAAAGGCGCGGCACGCGGTGGCGGAGTGGGAACGGCTGCAGCACCGACCTCTTCTTGGTGCGACATATTTCCGGACACCTGGCCCAAGCGGCGACCTGAACGTAGCTCTAGGGGGTAGAGTGGTCGAGAGGATGGCGGGGGATCCAACAGCACGCTCCACCACGTATGGAGTCTTGGTTTGGAAGACCTTTATTAGGCCCGAGGAACCGCCAGCCGACAGCTGAGATAAACGAACCAAGATGATGATGCTACGAGACAACGATGAGGATGCATGAGCAACACATGATAATGATGATAATGTACAGATGAAGAGGATTGGTATACTAAATGCCCACAATATATATATATATATATATATATATATATATATATATATATATATATATATATATATTATATATATTATATATATATATATATATATATATATATATATATATATATTATATATATATATATATATATATATATATATATATATATATATATATATATATATGTGTGTGTGTGTGTGTGCAAGCAAAATCGAAAAATCCGGAAAAGAGCCCCCCCCCCATCCCCACCGCCCGCGCTGCTTATGCCCCTGCCGTCACATATACAAAGGGAAAATTATGTCCTTGGTGTATTGCAAGCGCCAAATTTAATTGTTTCGACAACGCATACGCGAAAGCCAGCGGCTGTGACGCCACTGATTAAATTTAATCACTTTGTTCATGTCGAAATGGCGGTTGCATGTCGAAATCTCGGAAAAAAGCAAAGAAATTTAAAACAATACTTCTATCAAAAATGCCACATGATAAGTATGTTAGATATTCACAAATTTCGCGTGGTCATTCGTTAATATATGATTTATATGCGTTCATACGAGATTATTGGATACGAAGCATATGGGTCGTATCAGAATGTATGCTAGGAAAGTCGCATCTTCAGCCAACAACAATAAAGGTCACTAAATTTGGTTTCGTTCAGTTTTAAATGGTGTGAAAAATGAAGCTCCCTGCAAAACTTTTCTCCATACTTTCAGTCTGAGAGGCGTATACCCAGATTTTTTTTTCGGGATGGAGGGGAAGCGGGGGTTTTACGTAACTTTTTGAATGTTCGCGTGTGCATTCGTATATGTGTTTATATATATAGGCAAGCAGAATCGAAAACATTCGGCAAAGATCCCCCCCATCCCCCCCACCCGCGTTTGCTACACCCCTGCGGTCTCATATACAAAGGGTAAAAAGGTATTTATTTTGTGTTTTGCAAGCGCCAAATTTAATTGTATCGACAACGCATACTGGAAAGCCAACGGTTGTCACGCCACATATTGAATTTATTCATTTCGTTGAAATCAAAACATTGAAAAAGAAGCCTAAGTTGGCCTAGTAGCCACAAGGTTTTTCCGCCCCCAACGGCCTAAGTTTTTCCAAATTTGTGCAAACTAGCCACACTTGCAACCCTGGCTAAATCCGCGCGCAATCGTTTTGTGGCATCGAACACTAGAAATTTTTTAAGTTCTCAAGTTTGCCTGGCCAGCAGACCTCATCGCCCACGCTGCAATACACTTTTGTGGGCGCGTTTTCGATGGAGGCAAAAATGGTTGGCACCCGAGTACTTATCGATTCAAGTGGACGTTAAAGAACGGCAGGTGATCAAAATTTCTTAATCCTACCGCTACAGCGTTTCTCATAATTATTTCATGGTTTTCGGGCTAGCTCTCATCAGCTATTATTATTATCATCAAATAGGGGTGTGCTTGGTGGGGGGGGGGGGGGGGGGGGGGGTTGACTTTAGGCCTCCTCAATACAGAACTTTTCCCACGCCTGTCTGAAGTATCTATAAAGTTATAACACTCGAATCTCCCTATTCATTAGCGTCACTGGGGCGCTATGCAGGATGGCCTGAGCTTCTCGGGCACACGAGTTTGCTTCAAGTTCGCACTGCAATGGTCATGACAGGAAGGCACTGTAGGGCACCCAATAGCAGCGTTGATAAAAACGGCTAAAAATTCACGGTGTTGCCAGTGTGTTTGCATCAATTTTCTAAAAAACGTGGCGTGTCGTCACGTTACTGGAGCCACTCAGATAATGTTTCACCTGTAGAACGATGTCAGCGTGGTTTGCGCGCAGACTTTTTGCTTGCCAAGTGGACATGGCGCCTCGCACGGGCGCGTTTGGGGACATTTGTCTTCTCGGGAAAGTACTTTCGTTCCACATATGCAGCGTAGACATTCCTGCTCTCGAAGGCAGCAAGGGTGCACAAGCTGCACTCTTCACTCGTTTGCTTCCTATCAGATGTTACAGCTAAGTAGGTGGTCTGGTTAATGAACTGGTTAAAATATTTGTGTTGGTTTATCGTATTGAAACTTATGTGTCGCTAGAATGCTCTGGAACTAATAAATTAAGGAAACTATCAACATCACTTTTAAGGGTTGCACGTGATAGGGATATCCTCTCTGTGGTAATGTGAGTAACGTTTATGTGTTTTTGGTTTAAACACGAAATAAGCCAGAAAATACAACTGTTACGTTTGTTTGTTGTAGCTTTCTCTTCTCGACGTGAGGGGGCGCAGCGTCATGTAAGAGCCGTCCAGACGTCTTTCAATTCTCTAACAGCATGGGCTTGGTGCTGTCTTCTCAGCAGTCTGGATGCGTAGACTGTCTACGTGCTGCCTAAGAATTAGAACACAGCCAATGTGGTGAAGTCTTTCCGAACTCGTCATGCACCCACTACGTGGTCTTAAGGGAATATGTGCAGTAATGTCTGAGCCTTTTGCAAAGAGTGTCCGGCTTTAAAGCACGTAATCGTTATGAAAATCACATGGTCTGACACCCAATGGAAGTGTACGCTTGAACATAGGGTATATTATTACATTAAGTTCTGTATTCGAGGCCTGTATACAGGATACGTCTGTTTGTAAAGCAAAAACATCATTTCCAAACATTTTTCAGCATGAGGTATTACCTCTCTATTTCTAAGTAGGCACATGGCTTTGTTTTAGAACTCCTGCTAAACACGCAAACGGTCCTGGTTCGGTCCTCCCTCAAAGCAGAAACTTTTTATAATTTATTTTATTTGCATCTTTTTTTTTTTCGGACACACACACACGATGATTATTTTTGGCTCACAGCCGAAGAAGCTTACACCTACGCCGGAGTCTCTGCGAAACGAGTTTTTAACGCTGTCGCGTTAAGACATGGCTGAATGCTATCGATATAATAGAGGCACTTTCTTGTTGTTAACTGCTATTTGAAAACCTGCATGCGATAGAAATTCTTTTAAGCAAAGTGTTTCTTAAATATACACTGGAGACAACTGTGGTGCTAGTGTCTATGGGAACTGCAACGCATGACGTTTCAGCAAGCATGGGAATTATGGGTTGTACACGAATTTGCTTAGTCTTGGTACTTTACGCTCATTTTAGCTTCACGTGGCTTGAAGCTGCTTTGTCGCGAGTCAACAATCGGCAAACGTTCAGCAGTTGCGCTTTACGATCCTAATCTTTTAGGCTTACCATTTCAAATCGGGTCACGTAGTTCAAAAGCGTTCGTTTTTTTTTTTTAACTAAACCGAAACCAGCACGAAACGAAGCCACAAGTGCTATTCACCACCTACAAGTACGAAAACCAGGCAAATCCATGTACTACCCATCATTCCCATGGTCGCTGAACGATCGGAGCACCAAAGTCCCCTCTAATCAATTATAGGAAACTGTATGCCCTTAGGTATACTCTCTGAGTGTGGAAAAGAAACTCTAACGGCCGCGCTCTATATGACTACATATATATTTTAGCCAATAATGGAGCTCGACGCATTATAAGTGAACGCGACCGGGCAATGGCAAACAGTAAATAAGCAAGCGAGGTTTTTGAATTATTCACCTGTACTTGTCCCACAGCTCTGTCGTTTAACTCCTGCTCATGTTAGAACGTTAGTAGGTATTACTCTCTTGAGAGCATGGCCGCAATACTTAAGGGACCTTCTTTTTTCTTCAAGTAGCCCACTGTAAGTCAGTGAGAACTGTAGGCACAGAATCCAGAACTGTGCATTCGAATCCTCAAGAAAAGAAAGGAGGAAAAGGTAGATTAGTACCAGAGTCTATTAGCCCCTGTGACGCTGAGCAGCAAAGCGATAAGGCCGTAGAGGTAGGTGTGGTTGTTCCACCTGGACTTCTCTAGCAGGAAGATGAACCAATAAGGAAGCAGGAAGGCGAGACAGCTCTGCTTGAAGAACGCTCCAGTGCAGATGCCAGCTGCACCTGCGAATTCATTTTCCACTTGAATCGTTTAAAAAAAAAAGGCCACACTTATCCGACGCAGTTACACCTAAACGCATGTGAACTTCATCACTTTAAACAACCTCGTGAGTAAAACAAAAAGGCATTGTAACGAAATTTGTTGCCTACCCAAAGACGTCATGAATACAGCATTAACATTGGTAGGAGCGTGTGTGAAGGTAGACCCCGTAAAAAAAACAGAACTGACCGAAGGTTTTACCTATGATGATATGGAAATTCCATTCTACCTAATTAGCGCCTCTAAATGGACAGAAGCGGCTCACTTGAAAGCGCTAGCGTAGAACGAACGAATAAGAGCCCTAAACTAATTTGCTTCGGTCATGTCCATTCTTTAGGAATAATGGTTCATTTACTTAGCTGTAAGGTAATTATTACCAGGCAAGAAATTGAAGTACATTGCTTCAGTTTTTTTTTTGTGCTGAAACATCACATAGCCCGCCACCGTGTCGTCACATATCCTAAAGTACATTTTTTGTGAGTAAAAGGTTTTGAATGTTGCCACGGTTCAATATTTCACTCTGTTCTACCATGTTTCATATTCTTGGAGATTCAAAGATGGAACCCAGGGCATACTTAGTGATAAAAAGAAAAACCTCGGTGATGTCATGTCGAGCTGGTGAGAAAATGCCGAAAATAGCATCATCATATATTAATCTGTCCATGATACAGAGCCCATAACGACAAGAAACTTTGTGCAAAAAGAATTTATTTTCCTTCGTAAATGCAGTTAACCTTGGCCCATGACCTCTGATAACAATATTAGTTTACGTGCACCTGCTTCCCAATCATTTCAAGCATAATGACAATTTTGCGGGTTCAGGAGGGGGGGGGGAGGCTTTTAGGGCTTAGTGTTGAAGCATCAGAAGAGCTTTGATGCAGCCCGAAGCGACACAAAGATACCAGAAGACACATAAGAATGCCACATAACGTAGCGACAACGTGTTTATGTTGAAAACTTCACCACTTATAGATCAGGGAGACAATCTTGCATGTGGGAGCACTCAGAGGTATGCTCGAAAGAAGTCACTTTGCCAAAGCGAAAGCAAGACGAAGACACACAATGACAATGCTATCGGTGGCTTTCTGATGCAAGAATTTGCATGTGCATCGATACGTTAGGCTCAAAGAATCGGGTGGATGATCTCTTCTTTATACAGAAGAACAATAACTGAATTTTGGAACAAAGTAGCACTATTATTTGCAACGAGAAAACAATCTGTGCAATAGTCTTTGATCAAGAAAACAAGCGTGATCTGTTTCTGAAGTACGAAATTTCTCATGTTGACCACCTATATAAGTATCAGCTGTTGTGTTCTTTTAAGCGTGAAACGACGAAGGTTACGACTCTTGTCAGCAACATCGCGGACTTAATAACTAACCAATCATCTCACTTAAACCAACACAGTGAACATTGGCCAGTTCCACGACCACGCACAAACTGTGGTCTTCAAGCACTTTCGTACTGTCTTCTCTCAGCACTAAATAAATACAAAACTATGGGATGAAAACAAACATCCGAACGAGAAGCACCGTCCACCTCTTGTGAGAAACCGGTTTATTCAGCCAGGCTCGAGACAAATCACACTGCTGATGATAATTAAAGAGGATGAAGATGTAAAAGTGATGATGACATGTAAAGAGAATAAAGAGTCAGTAGTTTGTCGTGCTCACGATTCTCCTAAAACACGTTACTTCAACTTCTATTATTAAGGTTTGCCTTACTATGATGTTTCTTGAAAATGTGTGTTTCTTGCTAATATTTATCAGTTCACTGTGTGTATATCTATTTTAATTTTGTCACGGGTATGGAAATACCACATAATTGTTGTCATGTTGCTACTATTATTGTACGAGGAGGTGGAACTGGTCAGGCTGTCTATATGGAGCTTTATTCCCGCCATGCTTGTTGTTTATGCAACTTATGTCCTACGTGGCAATAAACTTCAAACATATATCTGTGCAGTTTTTTTTTAATTTAATGTGGGTCTGGTTAACAAAATATGTGAAAAAGTCATATGAACTAGCCTACCTATTTAACTGACTAATTTTAAACAGTACGTCTGCACCATGCGTGTTCCAAACGCTTGCGTTCAATATATCTTCCTCACAGTCTTGGAGAGTATATATTGTTCCTTTCTCTCTTTTTTTGCAACCGAACGCAATAGTCGGGGGAAGCTGATGCGATAGCTGATGGTTGCAAAGTAATGATATGTTGCTGTTGCGACAATCGCAGACCAAAAACACTGAGAACGATGACAGCAACTGTGGAGATTCAGCGTGTATACCTTGAAACAATGTGAGCTGCGTGACCATATATAATCAAGTTGTGTATATTAAAGCTATATAACCAATGGCGATCTGTACAATTGAATATAAGCCTGCTCAACGTGTAACCTTATACAACGCTCATACACCACAAATGCTAAGTTTTTATTCTTATACAATGTTCCTTTATATGTAACTCTCTATGGACAAGCTGTGCCTTAATGCAAACGCGAAATCAGGTGGGGGCAAGGTGTGAGACGTCTATTGGTGCAGTCAATCAACATGACGAAGGATAAGTGTGATGCTCTTAAAGTTAAGACTGGAGATTAGCAGACAATTTTGTACACAATAATGAATTCTGCGTATTTTGCACTGCCCTTTCGGTACTAAACGGCACCGGCGACTTGTAGGAAGTATGGGGAGGGGGTACTAACTACGCGAACCTGATAGAGTAGTATCGTTCTTGTTCCTCTCCTTACAATCACTTTGACCGGTCTCATTAGCATTACAACAGTTCAAGTTGGGGAATTGAATTGCAGGTTCACGTCTATAATATTAGTTGGGGTTGAACGTCCCAAAACCAACATATGATTATGAGAGATGATGTAGTGGAAGCCTCCGGAAATTTTGACCAACTGGGGTTTGCAGGTTCATATCAGCGCTTTATTGATAGACACTCAGCCGTACTAATAGCTAGTAGGCCATTGAAAATTTAGACCCTCTGTAGATAGCAAGTTCCTCCTTATCCGCTTCTTTCTCTCGATGGTGCGTTCGCATCTATAAATGTCTCCACAAGTTTGAGTGTGCGAAATCAGCTCACTTTTGAGGAGAACACAATACATGAGAAAGAAATGCAAAACGTGGGTTAATTGATCGACACCTGAAGAACGAAGGGCTACTCACCTAGAAGCATGATCAGGTGAACACAGTACATGCCTTCCAAGGACAGTGGCTTCAAGAAGGAGAACAGTGGGAAGCGGCACTCCTTGGGGTCACCCCAGCGTTCCTCAATGAAGGCCAAGCCGCGCTCTTCAGGTTGGTCCAGAACCATGACTGCTCCTGCGCTCGATATTAACATCGATATGAGGTCCAAGTATTTTTCAGTGTATTTTTATTGTTCGATAGCAACCGCACTCCATAGAACCTTCTTCACCTTCAACTGATGCCCTAGTCTTCCCCGACACAAACACACAGCTTTTTACTTCCCTTGAAGATGGTCATCGACTATAAAAGAACAATAGTTGGATCCAATATCATTGATTTTTGTTAGTTACAGCCACAAAAAGAACCGCAGAAATAAACTACAGAAACCATTACTGTACGTGCTTGTCACAGTCTCACCTAAATTTGTAATAGCTGCATCGGTATTACGCATTAGTTGAAATTCTTGCGTCGCCAAGCCTAGTTATAATGCGAGAAAATATTGAAGTCTGTAGAATGTTATTATTGTTTTTTAAACGGTTTACTTAATAAGCATTAATAAACCTCATAGGTGGCCTTACATTTGCTTCCGCAGAAAGCTGCCAGCAGGAGCCCGTATAGGAGCGCTGCTTCACCTCCTTCCCATGGGAGGTTATGTACCCTAAGAGACGCACTAGCCAGTGACTGATCTTTTATATGTCTACCATATTTACCATCGACGGAGTCAACACAAGTGCTAGAAAGGATAGTCATCACGTGAGGACGTCCCCAAAGTTCGTTGTAGTGACGTCGCAAATCACTAAAGTCTGTGAAGTAATCATTATCAAAGTTCGTTGTAGTAACGTCGCAAATCGCAAAGGTCTGTGAAGTAATCATTATCTCACTAAGGCGTCATCATTACGTTACTATGACGTCGCAATGTGACAAAAGATGATGATGTCATCAGTGATCACATGACATTGTGGCTTGATGAAAGCCATCACGGAGGTAGTGTATGAAAAACTATGTTAGCCGCAGAAAGCTTTCGGAACAGGATGGGAGGTTATCAATGCGTCAATTGAGAAGAAAAATCATAAGGTGGCTTTCGCTTTTGAGTCGTCTTAGGCGAATACATAATCGACCATGTTCAGCTTTTTCCTACTCCAAACCTTGCTACCACAAGCTACCCCTTCCGTCTCGGACGCCACTTCCTATGGGAGTGCAGATTTTGTTAAACTTTTAATTATTATTTTTACGCAAACAACCCTATCTCAGAGGATGAACATGATGCTTGAACGTATACCACGCTTTGACCGGTTGGTTAGCAACGAAATTGAGTGGATAGTAAAAGTAGCAGCTCTGCGCTGTCAGTGACATTCTTGTCGAGCTGTACAGCCCGCCTGCATGCTCCTTTAGCACGTTAGTTGAAGCAGACTAAGGGGGTGTGGTCTTTGTAAGTTGGCGTTTCCACAACGTGTGTTGCAGTTAAGACTTTTCAGAACCTCGAGGGCGGTGCCGTCATCGATGTGTCTGCACAGTGGTTTGAATGTTCATGGGCACGTTCACAACCCGGTCTTTGCTACCAGACCAGCCTCCGCTGTGTCACTTCTGTGTCATGTGCTTAACAGCTTCACTGGTGGTCCACCTTGACACATTCAATGGTTCCTCAAATTTATTCCCGTGAAAACACTCAAGCAAGTTGACTCTCAGCAGCTTTGAATTTCAATTACCTGGTTACATACAAATGGATTAGGCTTTGATAGCGTGGATTCATCAGAAAGCATAACAGTGTCTATTACAAAAAGAAATCAACGCAAACGCAAAAAGTTCAACAGAGATTACATGCGCTGCAGTGGGGTGCCTTTGAGGAATCTGCTCATCTAGCATTCGTGACACACTTATCTCTTCCCTTGTGACGTAATCGCTAAGACTGACTACGCTGATATGTTAAAGTCGGTGCTATGTCATGTCAAACCAAAACATGCTGCGATTCATTTATACCCCTGATATTTGACGACTGGAACCACTTTCCACATCTGTCGTCACCATCAGCCGTTTTGTTTCAGGTTAGCAAGCATTGTATGAACAATAAAAACCATCCGTCTACCCGCTTCTTAATGATTTCGGCACGGAGGGTGTTTAGTCAGTAAATTGAACGAACGAACGGACGAATGAACGAACGAACGAACAAACAAACGAACGAACAAACGAACAAACGAACGAACGAACGAACGAACAAACGAACAAACGAACGAACGAACGAACAAACGAACGAACGAACGAACGAATGAATGAATGAATGAATGAATGAATTAATTAATTAATGAATGAATGAATGAATGAATGAATGAACGAGTGGGCGGACGGATGAATGAACGAGCGAGCGAGTGAACGAACGAACGAACGAACGAACGAGTGAGCTAGCAAACGAACGAACGAATGAATGAGCGAGCGAGCGAACAAACTAACGAATGAACGGACGGATGGATGGATTGACGGATCGACGGACCGACCGACCGAACGACCGACCAACGAACCAACCGACCGACCATATGACAGACTGACCAGATTCCTACGCAAGGAGCAGTCAACTAAAACCAAGGTCGTGTTAGTTACAATTTGTAACGCAATTAACATGGAAGCAAAATAAGTTGCTCCAGATAACGCAAAAATATTTTGACTGAAAATTCAAAGTTGAAGAAAAATCCAAATAAGAATGTGGCTTGAATGCGCATATTTTTTTTATTATCTTCTGAAAGCTAACCATCTTCAAAACGAAGTTTACATCAAAGCTAAGTTAGCCATCTCTGGCGTACCAGTACTGCCAGCTCCAGATGTACCAGACCACCTACCGGTGTTCCTCCATTTTGCAAAAGTCTGCTTCATTTTCGTACTGATTGATTCTATTATCTAACTTATCTGCAGGTAGAAGTGTACATCTTAAGTTTTTGAAGGAAACTAAGCCATCGACATGGAAGACGTGGAAGATTTCTGTTGTGCAGTATTTTCAGCAAAGGACGTCACAAGGCAAAAGAATGGTTGACCGGTGAACATTGAAAGATTATCAAAGACAAAAATGTTAAACTAAAAATGCATCTGGTTTCTTCTGCCGGAACGTTTGGATGCGAATGGTAGACCTTGCAGAAATATGAAAAGAATAGCGATTTTGTTTTTGAGCTCTGGCACTTTGAGAGAAGTGGTCCTGCAACTATAGCTTCCTTATTTAAGTGATTTTGTGAGGGCTGCCACTTCATTAGAGCCTAAAATAATGGCAGCCCGGGGTACAGGTATCAGAAAAAAGGGGTGATTCAATGGTATTATTGAAGCCCCAAGAAAACGTCTACGTAATCTACAGAAAAACTTGCATTAAGTATATCTCGTTGGCCCTCACAAATCCATGCGTTTGACGTGGTACTAATTAATATAGCTCCAAAAAGGGGAAGACTCAAAGTAATTTATAAAAGTGCTCTAGTTATAGTGATTTCCTTTCACTGCAGTCACAAAGGAATGCCTATTTTGTATTGTGCGGGCACATCTACATGCGATTCTTGCGGGGCTAAGAAACAATTGAACACTTTATATTCTTCCGCTCTTGCATTATTTGACAACTACAGATCCCCGCTCTGGATGTTACTAAACCATATGGGCTCAAGAGCATTTTCTGCCTCCAAGATTTTTGCTCCGTGGATATGAGCCTCGATGTCGCAGAATGCAACGATGGTGTTTCTGGTACACTTGAAGTGGGCAGGTCTGTGTGAGTTCCTGTAGACTTGAATGTTCTCCCACAAGCGTGTGCGTCCCCGTTACATCTCTTTTCGCCCTTTATCCATATCCACCGGTGTATTAAAGCAATCCATAAGCTAACCAGACGCAATCCACATAGCAAACCTCTCTGCGTTTCCTTGCTTTTGTCCCTCTCTTTAACTTGAACCTAGTTTGCCCGTAGAAAAGAGAGCGTCCTGGGGTTGTATTTCTTAACAATTCAGTCTTCGAAAAGCTGGCTTTAACAACATGCAATGAGATAAGCTCATCGTCACACCACCGCCCCGCTGTGGCGGCAACGGCGTCATCCAATCGCGTTTTCTCAAAGCGATTTTTTAGAAACTGAATCGTCACAGAATACAACATTTAGTCGTCTTCTCTTGCATATAAGTCTATAAATATCCCCCATACGCACATCTTCTATAATTAAGAAATAAAGCAATGAAATGAAACAAAATGAACTTCTTCAAAAGGTTGGCATTTAGCCAAGAAGGAAATGTGTGAAGGAGAAACCCTGTGGCAAGTCCAGAACCCGCAGAGTTTGTAGAGACATGTAGAGATGCACCCAAGTAATTTTCAACAAGTGCTCTCAGAAGTGTTTGTGGTGCACATTCTAGACTCTGGGACGTAATTTGCTCATTGTCCGTTAGGATGATCATGACACACCATTTCGATACTAATCAGTGTTGTGTTGGTTATTCTATATGTGATAACAAATAAAGAGGAGAAATTATAGTGCATTCGGTCGAGCTCCTAATTAATAACTGAACATTTTCATAAACACGCGAGCTACCTTATAGTTGGGCAACGCTGGCGTGCTCGCGAGCCATGCAATATGACAACCTGCTTCCTGAGTGACCGTCTGCATCGATTCCGACGTGCTATGGTCATCTGCGTGTGTATATAGTCGACTAATTTAAGCTTTGTTCGGCTTGCCACTGGAATTATATGATGTCCAGGGACTGAAAAATAAAATAAAAAAGCCACCATGGCAGTTCAGCAACACACTGACCACGTGGGATCAAGGTGACTGATTTGGTGGCGGACAACCCACAGGTCCACTCCAGGCTGCGCATCACGTCACACACTCCACGGTGTAATGGTGGTCGCCGGCAGGGGGCGGGTTTTATAGCCCATGAGCCTTGACTTGGCATGTTATACAGGAATGCCCCCGCTTCGCGGAAACACGAGTTTGCTCCGTGCTCACGCTACGGCGATCATAACAAAACAGTGTAGAGTGCGAGAAAGCGGCGTTGATAACAAAGGCTACAGGAACACTCATGGCGTCAGAAACACATCTACGGAATTTTCGAAGGTTTTCAAAGAAATACCGCTTGCGCACGCATCAGCGCTGCCATTCAATGAAAATTTGAACAGTCCAGAGACGTCAGCGGGATTGTCGTTTACTGTCCTTGCAAACTGAACGTCGCGCTTCACAGAGGAGCATTCGTGCGCGCTTGTCCTCTATCGGGCAAGTTCTTTCGTTCGACCTGAAACATGGAAGTTTCTATAGTTACGAAGGCAGCGAGAGCTTACACGCAGCACTTCTGGGAAGCTCGCTTCGCTTTTGCTGAATATTATCGCGATAGCAACTATATGGAAACTCTCCGCAGTGGAAACTCACTAGGAGCGTTCGTGCGCGCTTGTCCTCTATCGGGTAAGTTCTCTCGTTCGACCTGAAACATGAAAATTCGTATACTCAGGACGGCAACTCGCTTCGCTTTTGCTGAATATTATCGTGATAGCAACTATATGGAAACTCTCCGCAGTAGAAACTCACTAGGAGCAACTATGTGGAAACTCTCCACAGTGGAAACTGACAAGGAGCGTTCTAGTGACGGTGAAATTGCGTTCTCCGCAATTTTCACCATCACTGTCATGCCCCTTATGTATATAGCCGTCGCTTTTTTCATTATGTGACGCGCTCAGTTGAACGGGGGCACGGTGGTGGTGAAGTGTGCGCGGCTCGCTCAACAGACAACGTGGAGGAGGTGAACTTTTCGTTTAACGCGCTGGTGTTCAAAGCTCCTTTTGCAGAAATTCTGGTGTCGGTGTCAACGTAAGTGTCTTTAGTAGTGCACAGTAATCTGCCTACATCTTGTTATATTATGTCAATAAACTGAAGCCTTCTTTAGGCCGCGTTCACACTGAGCATTCCTGCCGCCGAAAGTGCTCCGAATCCGGTTCGGCGGCGGCGAGATCCGCCGAAAGGGCCCTCTCCGCGCCGATCGCTCTCGGACCGATTTTTGCGGTGTCTGCCACCAAATCGGTCTCCGCGGATCTATAGGAGCGCTAGTCAAGTAATTTTGAAAAATGGCGGCCAAGCCCTACTCACTTGTTATGCTGCAGTGCACGTAACTGAATGTTGAAACCAACGGGAGTTTAACCTACTCTGTGCCTACTTCGCCTCCGTATTTCGTGAAAGAGGTGACCGAGCTTGCTGTTGGCGTGACCGAGCTTGTTGCGGTCTTGCAGAGCAAAACGAACCCACCAACGCCGCTGGCATCGGTGGTTTTTCTGCTCTTAATGCATTACAAGACAGCCACTTGCCAGCAAAGTAAGCAGTACTGTCTTTTTCTTGCTTCTTGCGTACGAGAATCGTCGAAGTATACACCACCGGATAGCGTAGTAGCGTTTGCGAGCCGCGACAAGAACCGGGTGACAGCGCATCCATCTCGCGTTCGCCCCGTGGTATAGATGGCATATTCGGCGGCGCGGGGCGCGTCCAGTGCGAACGACACTGCGTTTCGGCGGCAGGGGAATTTCGGTCGCTGTAGAAAGTGGATGTTTCAGTGTGAACTAGGCTTTAGACTCAATGCCTTTTCGTTTTCGATGCCCTCTTTCGTGTTACACTATCAAATGGCACTTTCAACTAAAATGGACGTGCAGAGAAGAGAATTAATGACGTGTGTGGCATCGGTTTTCCACTGAGGAAAGATATGATATCTCTTTAAACAAGGCGCAGCGAGTCCCATACACTTCACCGGCACCATGTCCCCGTGAACAGAGCGTGGCACAGAATGAAGAAAGCGACGCTTAGCAGAAAACGCTACATGTAATCACTGGTACGCTGCAAGAGAGTATAAATATCGCGTCACGGAATGAAGAAAGTGGCGCCTAGCACAAAACGCTACATGTAATCAATGGTACGCTGCAAGAGAGTAAAACAAAAACAAAATATGGCTGCGAAATTGAACGGACGCGCATGCGCACTCTCCACGTTAGATGGCGTGGAGATGCAGTTTTATTGGGTTACGGTCCTCGCTCGCACGTCCCGACTTATTTTGTCAACGGGTGTACCTAGTGGCATAATAGACCTTCTACTTTTATTTCTCGCTGAAAACCGCCAATTGTTGGGCAACTGTTTCGTGGCCGCTTTATATCAGGGAGGCTAGTACGTTTTTTTTTTTTCGTTTAAAGGCTATTCACAGAATAAAAAGAGAGTGCGAAAGAACCGTTGATTGATTGATTTGTGGGGTTTAACGTCCCAAAACCACCATATGATTATGAGAGACGCCGTAGTGGAGGGCTCCGGAAATTTTGACCACCTGGGGTTCTTTAACGTGCACCCAAATCTGAGCACACGGGCCTGCAACATTTCCGCCTCCATCGGAAATGCAGCCGCCACAGCCGGGATTTGGTCCCGCGACCTGCAAGTCAGCAGCCGAGTACCTTACCCACTAGACCACCGTGGCGGGGCTGCGAAATAACCGTTGTTTTTGTTCTTAAGCACCGTGGCGGCAGCGTTGTCTTTCGGAAGCTCTGGTTATGATGGGTACAGACGGTCAAATATTTAACTACCATGCATGAGCGGCTGTGTTTTATGTATCTTTTCTATATGACTGAATTAAACTCCAAAAATGGTGCTGACATGTGCATGCCTACATGGCACATACGCACACAACATTTTTTTAAAATTTGTTCCATCATATAACTCTGACATGCAACGAAGTGGCCGCTGTGCTCAATAGCTAAACTTTTGGCCAGCTGTACATGCATGTAGTAAACCTGTAGCAAATCTGCGTAACGCCCCACTGTGGTGGTAAAGTGGATCAGGTACTCTGCTGCTGACCCGCAGGTCGCACGATCGTATCCCGGCTGTGGCGGCTGCATTTCCGATGGAGGTGGAAATGTTGTTGGCCCGTGTGCTCAGATTTGGGTGCACGTTAAAGAAACCCACGGGGTCGAAATCGCCGGAGCCCTCCACTATGGTGTCTTCCATAATCATATGGTGGTTTTCAGACGTTAAACCCCACATATCTATGAAATCTGCGTAACATATTCTAGGCAATATACATCCGTCCGAAGAAACTGCATCAGGCACTCCATCTTGTTCAAAGGACGACGTACCGCTGATGGTAGTCGAGACTGAACTTGACTCAAGACTTATCCGGTTTATGTATAGCAGTCCTACAACTAAGTCACCAGATACCACTTTCAAAAGTATCTAGCCCATCATTGTAGCATCACTGTTTTTTTATGTATGTATGTATGTATGTATGTATGTATGTATGTATGTATGTATGTATGTATGTATGTATGTATGTATGTATGTATGTATGTATGTATGTATGTATGTATGAGCTCACCGAAGAGGATTCGGGCCATGGCCAGGCTCGCCGGGTCACATGGTGCGTGCAGCCAGAGGGTAAATGTCGTCGCATGCTTGGTCAAGGTGCTTCGGGTGGCCTTTAGCGAATCCACTACAGTGGCTCTAGAAGAGCAGCCACCACCTGTATAAAATACGGATTGTACATAACAGATGAATTTGTGCGCGACGTTGAAACGTCTCTCATAATATTAAAGCCTTATAAACGACGCTGCAAATCTTTTCGGCAAGTCACGAACAGACACTTGCAGTAGAGTGAGGGGTTCATTTGTCTATTATTATTATTATTATTATTATTATTATTATTATTATTATTATTATTAGAAGCGAAGCAGCTTATGGCGGAGTCTAATCCGGTATGCGATGTGAGCATCCTTACTGCGCATGCGCAACAGCTGGCTGGCACAATCAGGCCACCAGACCACGCGCTAGCGCATTCCGGCCTGTGTAAGGGGCTGGGTAAGACGCTGTCGCCTCTCCCCCATCCACTATTTTAGAAATCACGTGATGGCGTCGGAAAATGGGATTCTGCAGACGCGCGATGAACCCGCGTGCTGTGCTCCAACAAGAGGTCGGGACGAGTAACGGCAGCAGAAATTACAGTGAATTCAAGGTGCTCTCCAATTTCAAGTAGGCTTTAGCATCGGGCAAGGTATACCCTTAATGAACGGAACTTTAAGTCGGCCCATTGGCTGTTTGGCAAGCTACTCATGGTTCCCTTTAGAGTGTGATGGTAATTTATTATTAATATTATTATTATTATTACTATTTTATTATTATTATTATTATTATTATTATTATTATTATTATTATTATTATTATTATTATTATTATTATTATTATTATTATTATTATTATTATTATTATTATTATTATTATTATTATTATTATTATTATATCAAGACATTAAATTCAAGTGGGAAAAGTCTTTCACCATTTTACTGCACGCCGTTTCACTCATGCTTTTCCAAAACGTTTTCCCTCAGAATCATCAAACCGTACAGCAGCGACACTACTGTGAGATCTGAGGACGTGTGTAGCATTGACACCCAATGATTCCCGTTCGTAGGGTTCCCACTGCTTCGTTTACCAAAGCGTCGATGGCGCCAACGTTTGAGGTCAGCATATAGGAATTCCCCGGCGCAAGCATAATCGTATTTGGGAGATAAGCAAGCTAGGTGCGCGATACGTGCATGCGGTACGTTTTTGCTGCACTTCGTTGACTTTTTGCGTGTCACGGTAGCGGAGATAAGCCTCGTCCGCAGCGACGCTGCACCGGCGAAGCTTAGGGGGAGAGGCTTTCGCTCGTTCGACCAGGTTCGACTAAAATGCCTTAATATTGCCGCGAACCATGCATGGGTTTGTTTATTTGTGTTTTGTTTTTCGGCCTGGCTGCGCCGGCATGTGCTATCACTGTTTTCACAGCGTTTCGAACAAACGCTATCACAGCGTTTCGAACAAACGCTATCGAACAGCGCTTCGAGCGTTCCGAACGAACAGCGTTTCGAACAAACGCTATCACGGTGTTCTCGATACAACTCGACTATTCGAGAAACCCCCGCGCCGAGGGATATAAATTCCCGCACAGCCGATGCCGCGACATTCGATCGCCGACGCTCACTAGCGTGCACGTCGTTTTGCCGGCCGCTGCTTCGCCACCTGTGTATTCTTTCAGTTGTTAGGGGAGCACAGGTTCGCTCCAATAAACTTGTTTTCCTTATAGACAACTTCGTCGTCCTTTGACAATGTAGATAAAGTACCGACAGTCTGTTTCACATCCACTGAAAAGTATCCAATCCTTCTCTCCCAAGTGTCCAAACGTTATCTATATCCTCTCCCAAACGGCCACTATGCAGGCGCCGGCCAGATAACTTGGCTCGTGCCACTTTCCTATGAAGAATGCCATATCACGCTGATAAAACACGCGATTGCCATGACCTTTCTCGATTAGCAGCACGAGAGGCGGGGGAGGAGGTTTCGGAGCACGGCGGCTCCGTTAAAGGTACTTTTCTAAAATATCCAGGGACTTCACGTTCAACTAGGGTTCGACTGTGGCATGCAGCACCTTGGTATTTCGCCCGAGAAAACGCCGCGCACGGATGTCACTCAACCAGCCGCGATGAAACGGGGGAAGCCGAATGGCGGCCGCCGATCGGAAGGCGGCACTCACTCCTTCAAAGAGTGACTCCACCCTGCAAGGGAGCGCGCGCATCGAGGAACCCTACGTTTGACGAGGTGTTGGCGCCCTCTCGTGTGGCCCCGCGGTCAGCCTCAGGTTTCTGGAACGTTCTAGAGATTATAGTTAATTGTAGACATTACTCTGTCGTTATTTCATGCTATTTTATACTTTGCTCATTCACGTTGACTGGGTTTTGAGCATTAATAGCCTCGACATGGCCTGTATTGAGCGTTTTTACTGTGAACGGGGTCACGCGATATGAGATGCATGAATGGATGACAAATCGGGCCCTTCATGTGCTCCGCGCTTAAAATTATAGGTGGGAAGGTATTTCATTAGCATCGATGTATCGTTCAGCTTAGACTGCTGTTTTTTTTCTTCTCTCTCTCTTTACTTTGCGATCACATTCTCTGGCTTAACGAGGTACTGACACAAAAGTTCGCAGCCGAAATAGCCTGCTGGATCGATTCCCGTGAACATATGCGATATCATCGGTAAAATATGAACAGCAAATATAGCTTGGAAGGTATCTAAAATTATTGTAATTATTTTTTAAGTTTGCGTGAGCAATCGACTCTATTGTGCTATTGACACCCTCAAAGGGAACCTTCTACTTCCCTCACGGGACCGCGCTACATTAGGTTATGACATCATAGCCGCCATTTTTTTTGCTGTGTGTACACGAGCGGACTATATTATTCGGCAACTGCTCACGAGTCCTTGGTCACGGCACACCAGTTCGAAGTTTTGTGTTTGACGGTATTGCTGCCCCGTTTCTTGTTCGAAAAAAGTTCTTGATGTGAAACGCGTGGAAGTGCGTCACATTTCTGTGGACTTACATGGTCAAGTTTTGCACCCGCTATAGGGTGGTGATAGTTGCTCCCGGTGGCTTGTCGTTATTGAAATGGAAGCTGAGACGGGTTGGTAATAACGAGCTTGTAATTAATTATCTGTCGCGTGCTGCAGCAAACGACAGGCCGTGTCATGATTAACCACACTGTAGAAAAAAATCTGCAACACAGTGTAGAAAAAAAATATGAAGCCAAAGTTTTTGTAAGTACCAGTTTCAATTTCGATTTGAGACAGCTCCAAAAACGACAAACCACCATATGTAACTACCGCCACCTAGCGTGTTCAGGTCTCAACCACATCAGCATACAGAACTGTCGCACAGTCCGCATTAAGAATTCTTTTCGAATAGAAAACGGCACTACAGTGTCCCCAAACTGAAAATTCTCAACGCGTGCGCCACGGCCACGCAACCATCTCCAGCCACCGAGAAGTATAGACTACTGGAACAAACGCAGCAAAAGAAAAAGTGTAGCTATGTCGTCATGATAACTTCTTTTATTGACTGCAGCGTCGTTTCGTGAGAGAAGTGAGGGGTCTCCAAGGGGTCTCTTTAGATGGTGTCAATACCTTCAATATTAAAACTTCTAAATTGCTGTAAAATACTTTCCAAGCTATATTTTGCAGATGATATGCGCATATTCACGGGAATCGATCCTGCAGGCTATCTTCTCGGCTGTGAAACCCAAAGAAGCAAAGCTGCAGCCGAGCTCAAATTTGTGATTCCCCCTTCTATCGAGGAAGTGCATCGGTGCTGCATATGTATTGCGATGGTGTTTATTCGAACAGAGGGGTCGCAACGAGGTCGCGACGGAAAATGGGCGAACGGCAAGTCTGGCAAAGGCGGCACATGTTCTCGCGCAATCAGAGCACGGGGTTCTTCGTTCTCTTTTGAAGGCGCATACGCGTTAGTGAGTATGCTCCACTACAATACCCCCGGGGCGAAGAGTAGCCATCCTGGCGACTCAGGGAGTAGGCACAATGAGGGGGTCGTAGTAGGGCTTGAGATGGTCGACGTGCACGGTCTCACGTCCTCGACGGCGCAAGTCTGGCGATTGTGTTAGGGGCTCGATGATGTAATTCACCGGCGAGGTTGCGTCAATGACACGGTATGGACCATGGTACCGGGCCAGAAGCTTAGAAGAAAGGCCAGGAACGTGCGGGGGCACCCAAAGCCGCACAAGAGAGCCAGTACGAAACGTAGGCGCCATGTGATGAACGTCGTCATGTCGGGTCTTTTGTAGACCTTGAGCCGCACTTGTCATAGACCGAGCCAACTGACGGCAGTCTTCTGCGTATCTGGCGACTTCCGAAAGCGGGGAGCACTCCGATGCATCAGGGCGGTACGGGAGTATGGTGTCAAGTGGGTGGGATGGTTCGCGGCCGTACAACAGAAAGAACGGGGGAAAATCGGTAGTCGCTTCCGTCGCGGTGTTATAAGCGAATGTAACAAACGGTAATACAGCGTCCCAGTTAGTGTGGTCGGAGGAGGTGTGCATCCTCAGCATGTCGCCAAGTGTGCGGTTGAACCGTTCAGTGAGACCATTCGTCTGTGGATGGTATGCGGTAGCTTTCCGGTGTATGATGTTGCATTGAGCGAGAATAGCTTGTATGACCTCCGACAAAAACACTCGACCCCTATCACTGAGTAATTCGCGTGGAGCCCCATGGCGGAGAATGAAGCTGCGCATAATGAAGAGTGCAACTTCGTGGGCGGTCGCTGCCGGTAGAGCTGCAGTCTCAGCGTAGCGTGTCAGATGATCGACGCCGACAATAATCCACCGGTTTCCAGAGCAACTATATGGGAGGGGGCCATAGAGGTCGATACCTACGCGGTCGAATGGGCGAGCCGGGCATGGGAGCGGCTGTAACACGCCAGTAAGGTGCCGAGGAGGTGTCTTGTTCGGTTGGCAAGTGGTGCAAGACTGGACGTATTTCTGCACAAAGCGATACATTCCTCGCCAGTAATATCGCTAGCGCAGCCTTTCGTAGGTTGTCAGGACACCTGCGTGAGCACTTTGGGGATCTGCATGGAAATTCATGCAGATGTCAGAGCGCACATGAGTTGGGACAGCAAGGAGCCACTTTCGACCACCAGGCATATAGTTGCGGCGGTACAGAATGTTGTCTCGCACGGAAAAGTGGGCTGCTTGCCGGCGTAGCGCTCTCGTGGAAGGGACAGCAGACGGATCGGTAAGGTAGTCGAGTAACAATGCAAGGTATGAATCTTTACGCTGCTCCGAAAGCATGTCAGTGGTGTCGATTGGTGATAAGGTTGCAAAAAGGGGTGACAGAGAAGCCACATCTGGTGTTAATGGTGATCGCGAAAGTGCATCGGCGTCCGCATGCTTGCGACCGGAACGATATACGACACGGATGTTGTATTCTTGCACTCGAAGTGCCCAACGCCCCAGGTGTCCGGACGGGTCTTTCAAGGTGGACAGCCAACATAGAGCGTGGTGGTCTGTGACCACGTCGAAAGGACGGCCGGAAAGGTACGGGTGAAACTTCGTCAACGCCCAGATTATGGTCAAACACTCCTTCTCTGTCATGGAGTAATTCAATTCAGCCTTCTTGAGAGTGCGACTTGCATAGGCGACTACGTATTCATCTTGGATGCCTTTCCGTTGTGCCGAAACTGCACCAAGACCGATGCCACTTGCATCGGTGTGAATTTCTGTGGCAGCAGCAGGGTCGAAGGGACGAAGAATAGGTGGTGAGGTCAGCAGGCGGCGCAGCTGGCGAAATGCGTCGTCACATGCAGGTGATCATGCAGATATGCCTTTGCTGTTGGAAAGCAGACTCGTGAGAGGTGCGATGATGGACGCGAAGTTGCGCACGAAGCGACGAAAGTAGGAGCAGAGACCGACGAAACTTCTTAGGTCTTTCAGTGATGTGGGCAACGGGAAGTCAGCGACAGCTCGAAGCTTATCGGGATCCGGAAGAACACCGTCTCTTGTGATGACACGTCCCAAGATGGTTAGTTTTCGTGCTGCGAAGTGGCACTTCTTGTAGTTAAGTTGTAGGCCTGCAGAAGTTAGACACGTCAGAATCTCGTGGAGGCGAGCAAGATGTGTCGGGAAATCAGATGAAAAGACTACGATGTCGTCCAGGTAACACAAGCAGGTTTTCCACTTGTGGGAACGCAAGATGGTGTCGATCATGCGCTCAAATGTGGCAGGCGCGTTGCAGAGCCCAAATGGCATGACTTTGAACTCATATAGGCCATCCGGCGTTACAAAGGCTGTTTTAGGGTGATCACATTCAGCCATTGGCACCTGCCAATACCCACAACGCAGATCCAAGGATGTAAAGTACTCGGCGCCTTGTAAACAGTCAAAAGCATCGTCTAACCGTGGTAGCGGGTAGACATATTTTTTCTTAATATTGTTTAAGCGGCGATAGTCCACGCAAAATTGTACGGTGCCATCTTTTTTCTTTACCAGAACCACAGGTGATGACCAAGCACTTTGAGAAGGCTGTATGACTCCACGTTTAAGCATGTCAACTACTTGCTCCGTAATGACGCGGCGCTCTTCGGCGGAAACGCGGTAAGGACGCTGTCGCAGAGGCGAATGTGAGCCGGTGTCAATAGTATGAGTGATAGTCGTGGTGCGGCCCAAAGCAGGTTCTTGAAAGTCGAAAGAAGAACGAAACTTGTTAAGGAGAGCAACAAGTTGGCGGCGATGCGAGAGGGAAAGGTCTGCGTCAATAGCATTGTCGAAGGCTGACGAACTTGATGGCTCAGACGGATGAGTGATTGCGGCAATGTGACATGGCGTTTCGTCGGGAAGAATAATATCATCGATATGGTCGACAGGTTGCACATATCCTAACGTTTCACCCCGAAGCAAGCCAATGGGGTAGTTCCAGTGGTTGGTAACCAGCATTACGGTTAAACCAGACGCAATTGTAAGAACAGCAAATGGGAGAACGATGCCCTTGCGTTCAGTAAACACCGGAGATGGCGTAAACACCACCGTGCTGTCAGGTTGCGCCACACATGAAAGGCTAATAGGGACCGAAGCTTCAGGAGGCAAGGTGGTGATGTCGTCATCAGCGATGAGTTTGCAGAGCGGAAGAGAGTGGTCGGGTGGTGGAAATTCGCACGTTGGCACAAGGGAGACTTCGGCACGGGAACAATCGATGATAGCTTCATGACGTGATAAGAAATCCCAACCCAGGATAAGGTCATGAGAGCAAGATGGTAGAACAAAAAACGGTACGACGTACAAAACGTCTCGGATGACGACGTGTGCCGTACACACAGCCGAGGGATGAATGCGTTGCGCGCTAGCCGTGAACAGCACCACGCCACTGAGAAATCTGGTCACTTTCTTCAGTTTCCTACAAAATTTTGCGTTCATCACAGAAACGGCGGCCCCGGTATCAATTAACGCTAATGTGGCGACTCCCTCAACATCGACATCAACAACATTTTGCGGCGAAAATGGGGGCCTTGGGAATTGCGCAAAAGTTGCAGTTCTTGCCTCCGGAACTGCACTGATTAGTTTCCTTCCTTAGGAGGTGGTCGATGACGCATAGGCGATGGCGATCGGCGACGAGGTGATGGGAAACGAGCAGTCGATGGGTGGCGATCCTAGTCGGAGTGCCTCTGTTCATATGCAGACGTGGTGGTCTGCTGCGGTGCGTAGGTAGGAGCTCCGAAGTATGCGTGTGCAGGTGTAGGACGGCGGCGGCAAAAAAGTGCAATGTTGCCAGCGATGCCACACGCGAAGCAGATGGGACGATTGTCTTGGGTGCGCCACTCATTAGATGGACGGAAAAAGCGAGGTGGGGGCCTGTAAACTGGAGGTGATGCCGGAGGAGGCGGAGCCGATAAGGCGACTGGATGCGGTGGGGGCCGCGCGACCACAGCTGCGTAGCTGAGAGGTGAAGGCGGCGCAGTTGGTGCGTAGCCAGCAGTTGAGAGATCAGATGGCACCAAAGTGCATGGGTAAGAGGCCGGAACTGTAGAGAGGGCATTGCAAATTTCAGTGCGTATGGCCTGCTGCATATTCGAAGGGAGGCTTGTCGTGGGCGCGTCGCTATGCGGCAGCAGGGAGAGCTGTCGGGCGACCTCCTCCCTGATGAAGTCTTTAAGCTGGTTCGACAGAGTTCCTTTGTGAACGTTGCCATTTGCGAGTGTGACGGCCGAGATCAAATCTGGTGATGGGACACTCTGTCGGGCGATGGAACGCTGACGACGCAATTCATCGAAGCTCTGGCACAGGCTTACGAGGACTGCCACCGTGGTCGGGCTTTTCGCCAGCAACATCTGGAATGCGCCATCCTCGATGCCCTTGAGAATATGCCGAATTTTGTCTTCTTCAGGCATGGATGAGTTAATACGCCTGCAGAGGTCGAGCACATCCTCAATATTGCTAGTAAAGGTCTCGCCAGGCTGCTGGGCTCGGTGGCGCAGACGCTGGTCAGCGCGGAGCTTGCGGAACTCTGGTCGGCCGAACGCTTCGGTCACGAAGGTCTTAAAAGTGGACCAGTTGGCGATGGCGGTTTCGCGGTTCGTGAACCATAGCTTGGCGACGTCAGCTAAGTAAAAGATAACATCGGCAAGCTTAGAGTCATTGTCCCATTTATTGCTGGCACTTACGCGTTCGTACAAGCAGAGCCAGTCTTCGACGTCTTGCTCACCACTGCCGCTGAAGATTGGTGGGTCCCGCTGACGGGTAGCACTGGGGCAGGTCGATGGGGCAGCCGATAGTGCTGGCTGTGCTGGGATGGGCTGGTTGGCGACTGCGTCAGTCATGTTGTACGGTGGTCTTTCGGCCAACTTGCGAGAGCGGAGCTCCAGGTCTGCTTAGGGATATCAGCCGCCTCCACCAAATGCGATGATGTTTATTCGAACACAGGAGTCGCAACGAGGTCGCGACGGAAAATGGGCGAACGGCAAGTCTGGCAAAGGCGGCACAGGTTCTCGCGCAATCAGAGCACGGGGTTCTTCGTTCTCTTTTGAAGGCGCATACGCGTTAGTGCGTATGCTCCACTACAATATATATATATATATATATATATATATATATATATATATATATATATATATATATATATATATATATATATATATATATATATATATTATATATATATTAGTTTCTTGGCGACGGTACATCTCTTCGTACTTTGCTTGTAGGATACAAATAAAGTTTAAAAAATCAAAAGATTATATACAGCGAAAATTCTGAAGCATACTCACACTTTAGATCTATCTGCATCAAATTTTGCATAGAAAGCGACAATGTGGAGGTTCTTCCTTATCCTATTTGTGATAACCAGTAGTAGTGCTCTCAGCGTTCACTGCAATCTGGCTGCGAGACCGAGCCAACTGAAAAGTAACGCAAACTCAGCACAGCTAAAGGGGGAAAAAAACCTAATTGCACCCAGCCAGGCGGCCAACTCTCTATGAACTAAGTACCAAGCATATGTTATGTACTGCATTAGTTAAAGCACGTCGATGAACAAAATCGCACTCTCTCTATATACATATGCTGAACTTCGCAAAGTGATTAGCCAATGTGATTTGCTAGCGATGCCATTTCAGCTTCAAAATAAAGTTTCAAACGTGTGTTCCATTGTCAGGGGGCACAACACGAACTAATGTCACTCTCTGTGAAACATAAATGGGTAGCTATGACCAATCAGCTGATTTTTGCGGGAGTTATTTCTCCCACACTTCAATCCTAAAGGTTACGCTTGTCGGTAGTAAGACAAGTAGGAAGAAGCTGCAGCCTTCCTACCTGTCTTAGTTGTTCTGTTGACCATTTGACGCTTTTCAAAAATAGCGCATTATTGTTTTGCACTTTACAGGAATCAGTCAAGCATTCTTATGTGGCTGGCATGCAACAAACAAACCAGTGTCCTCACCTTTCCTTCCGTTGTCTTGCTGCTGGACGTCCGCCTGCATCATGGACCACGCGCAATATGTATGCCGATGCGACACCACTCATTGCACCGCGTAGTGACACGTCACTCTTACACCCCCTCCCCCCTCTCACGAAAGGAGGAGGATTTCTGGGCCCGAGTTCTTCACTTGTAGGCGTGTTGCCATGACAGCAGCGCTTTCAGAACAGTCATAGCTTGGCGTAAGCTCGCGCCCCACAAATCCCGTGCAGCAGGATTCTTGGCGCGATTGGTGGCCTTGTCCTCGGTCAATTTGACCCGCTCCTTTTTCTTTTCGCAGCGCTTACCGGGCTATTTCCTTCAGTTCTCGGGAGAGATTTGCTTCCGCCGCCCCTATATAGCTTGTTAAGCCCTTGCCGACTTAAGGGATTCGTAAAACCACCTTCTAAGTGGATTGGTGCGAAGAAGTCCTCGCGACTGATTCCTGCTCTTGTGTATACCCTATTTAGATACGTGTCGGTACAAGAGGTCACACTCGAATTTCAGCCGCTTGGACGTAAACTTTGCAAGATAAAACGTACACGTGCTACAAAACGCATGTCTTTTGTGCTCCGGAGCCTGCTGTATCTCTTTTAATTAATGGCCGCTCCTCTTGTCTCCACTGCGCTTGCTGAAGAGACACGTGGACGACTACAGTGGTGCCAGAGTGCACTGTGGGGACCTGAATATAGGCCAGCTAAGATAGATACACACACGCTTGCGAAAGTTGGGAGCAATCGCAAGACCCTCCGAATTTACAGCGCCTACGTAAACAGCGCGCGCCTTATGCAAATTAGATATTATAAATTCAAATAAGCTTTATATTCACGCATCGCACTTTTTTTTGTTTAGTCAAGGCAGCGCAGTAGCGCGCAATTTATATGTGTTTGTAAAAAAAAAACAAAGAGAGAAAGAGAGAGAGAAAGACGGGCATAAATATTTCGAAGATCGTACACCCCGCGAGAAGTATAGTCTACCCGTGTTTTTAAAAATATACCATGATCGGAATCTACGATGAGACTAATACGAGAAGGCAGAGATATCAACGAAATCACCGATAACTCGATAATGGCTCTTGCTGTTGTTGATCAATCTGTGCTCTGCTTTGGCATTGTAAACGGCACTATATTGTGTATTCCTTCGGCAGAAATACTGCCCTGAAAGTGCGATATTTATTTCCCGCGCAGGGATTCTTCGACAGTGAGGCTGCCTTTCTGAGCAACTCGTACATATAGGTGTAGGTTGTATTTTCTTGCTTCTTTCACTGTTCACATATATCCCATAATTTGCTCCGTGTGTTTATTCTACAGTTAATTCTCGTGCTCTATCGCACTTTGGCTCCCTCCACCTCAGTCAGAGTCACTCTTAAGAGAAAAGCAAATTCATATGTGTGATTCTTTACTCCTGCAAAAAGAATTAAAAAACGCTTTTGCTGTGACAGGATGCCTGGAAAGTCATAAAAGGCGAAAAAGACAGAAAGAGAGAGAGAGAAGGGGGAGGGGGTAACACGGGAGGTGGCGTGTTCTGTAGTCGGTTAGAATTTCACAGTAAATACAATCTCCTCCCACTACCATCATGATCCCACAGAAGAAAGAATTTTCATAAATGTCGCAGACGGTTACGTCGGCTAATTTTTGTGACGTCAACACTTCTGCGCATTGAGGAGTCACATTTTGTCTCAAAGAGAGACGTTTGTGCCACTTGTTTAATAAAGAAAACCTATCTGCCACAGCAGACTTAATCAGATCTACTGACATCAGTACTCAGCCAGAGATACTACGACGGCGTATGAAACCACGTACAAATAGATATGAAGAAATGAACAGAGTATACAAAGAGCGTTGACTCACCACTATTCTTTATTTTGCTGAGAAGTCAAATATACATAAAATGTACATAAAATTACAAGTGCAAGCCTAATCAATTCATGGGCAAATCCAATAACTTTTAGCACGCGTCCACGATTGCCCAACAACCCCAATTGCCCTACGCAGTGCAACAGAGAGGATGCATATAAGCAGCAGTCGTCTAGCTTGTGTATCTTTTCGCTTCTGCAATCACACGGGTTAGCTGCAACCTGTGCCTTGCCACTACCGCACACTGATAACAAAACGTGAGCGTATATTTTGTCGCGAATATTCGCGCAATGAGAAAAAAAAAGGCGGGGCGGGGCTGATGGAGAACGCAGCCGCGCCAATTCCCGGCCTCATTCACAATATAAATCTCAAAGCAGGCGAATGAAAAAAAAAAATCCACTAGTGGGTGGAAAAGCAGGCAGTGAGCCTCATCGGTCTCTGAGCGATTGCTTTACCAGAAAAAAAAAATTTTTTTTTTCGGCTTGTCGGTAGCCATATTTTGGCTACACTAGCGCATAAGCCACGCGATATATACCAAGTGATGCGAACGTCCGGCCGAAAACTCAAACTGTCAGCCAAGTTCTGCTTGGTGATTATCATCGATGCAGTAACAAACTATAGTATAACTTGAGCTTGAGTAAGGCTGATATAAACTAAGATTGCTGAGGACAAGGTAATTAGCAGCGGGTGCAGCAGCACTGCATTAGCGTGTCCCCAACGTATCTCACTTCCCTACAGCTAGGCGAATCACACGTCGCGGCAGGGGTGTCTACGTCTGCCGCGGCATATCCTGAACACACCAGCTTCAGGAGACCAAAAAATATTTTTTTCTCCGTGTTCTGAATGCATAACTGAAGTTCGGTGCGAAACAAATACCTAAGAAAAGTGGCATGCATTTGCGTCTTTGGTTGTGAATAGTGGGCAGATGTGGGGAAAGTGTGGGCGACAGAACAAACGTGACCATCTTGAGTAAGAACGCGCAAGCGAACAAGAACGTGGAAACGCCTTTGGTGTTTTCAGTCTCTTGCCGTTTCCCTTATTTTAACGAAGCTTCCCACTCACCCCACTCAAAAGTATACATTAACACTTAGCATCACCCAGGCTGGTATATGATAAGGCAATGTTCATTGCGTGCACTTTCTTGTACCACCCATATTAAACCTTCATGTTCGAAAGTGTATTGAAAAAGTCCACATCCACGCTGTCTTCACGAGCACTACAGCCTATTTTGTGAACTTTGTATGTCCCGGGCAAAGGACTGAACTATGCTAATCCCATAAATATTCAAACGCTCACATAAAGCAAGTGGGAGTTCCACAGAAAAGTCCTCTTGAAAAGTCAAAAAGGATCCACCAGTCTACTGAAAGACTGTAATGTACAGTAATAGACTTTTCTGATTCATATACGTGCACACGGACTACATGAACATACTATAAATACTTAGCATGAGCAGCGAAACCCCAGCGAGTTGTTTATATACCGGGGGCTGGGTAGGGGGGAAGTATAATATAAAATATATTCAGTTCACAGTAATGCAGATATAGTCAAGAAACTAAAAGATGAAAAATAAGAAATTGTGGCCTAGATGCAACTGTGTATTTTTTTTACCTAGAATACTTAGAAAGGTTATCTTGAAGGTGTCATCGTTAAGTGGCGCTTTAGATAGAAGTACCCGAAGTCCTTGCGCCCGTCATGTAAAACCTAGTTTTGCATGCACTATTTGAAACGTTATTTGCATGCTAGAAAGAACTATTCGTCAGAAGCAACATATAGTCTAAACAGGAAAATCCGGCTTACTAAGGATTTTTCCATGTCCTCGCTTCCATCTTTCCATGATCTTCCGCCTTGTTCGATAAGACACTGTTCAGAAATTTAACATTTACCTGCGCAACATGCATGCACTGAGACATACTATTCTACACAAAAACAAGTACCGAATCTTTATGGCAATAATTGGAAAAGAAAACGGGTTGGGGGAGCTAACTATAGAAATCGTCCTGTATGCCGTATGCTTTATTTTAGTTGAAATAAGTTTTTTTGAGAACATTTGGCATACAGCACTAATATATTCTTGAAGCACGATTATTCCACAAGGGGACGTTTTTAGCCTAAAAACAAAGATTTATTAGGTTTCAATATTTTACCCGTGAAATTGTTAATATTTTAGAGCACATATAGAAGTTTAAATGTTCCAGTCACTCATCCGACAAGGCACATTTACTTATTCATTTATTTGCACTTCACCTACATAGCCGTGATGCATTAGGTAGGGCACACGTGAGCGATTTCAGAACATATTTTGCAGTCGATACAATAGATAGAACAAATTATTACAGCAATCTCAGGATATTTTAAGAGAAAGACATTCGAATAATGATGAACTACACAAATTACAAACAACGTCATGGTCATACATGGTCAAATCTCTTAACGATTGGAGACAACAAAGCATTCTTATTAGTAGTGATATTGTGGGCGTTGTTACAGGGAAGAAAAATGAATTGATTATCAATTTCATTAACAATTTTATCCGGTACATGGTCACATTCCTGTGTAGTTTTTACAAAACTACCAAAAATAAGTGTGTTTGGTAGGGGTTTTTTAATATTTTCGTCAATGATCTCGTCGATTTAGGACGCACGTTGGTGCGAACAGGTAGTCAACAGGGTTAACGGCATTTTCATCGTAATATATGCAACAAAGAAATGTAGGCCACAGTTTCTGCCTGCTTGCCTCCAGTGGCTCCCATTTCAATGTTTGTTTCATTTCTGTGATGCTTGCAAAGGAACTATCGTTGTTGCTAACAAATCTGGCTACTTGGTTTTGAACTTTTTCCAGCGAGTTAATCAAGTATTGCTAATGGGGATCCCATATTACACAAGCATAATCTAGTATAAGCATCACATAAATAAGATATATGGTTTCTTTCACGGTCTGTGACATTGCGCAAATTGGCGAACATAGAGCCAGTTTTCACCTATAGGTGCGCTGTCAAACATACGATAAAATTGGTCATCTGTGCCACTGACATTAAAAAACCAAGCCTCGTTTACGCTTTGAAGCTCCTGGATTATAGTATACAATCTATTTCGAATTTATGTCTATCTATAAACGATCGGCTTCTTCTTGGGGAAGGGGCCTTTCTCGCGTGCATAACTGGGAGAACAAG